TGCGATTGTCTTACTAATAATCTTCTCTATTAACTTCAAAATGAAAGGTTTTGATGAGTTTTTGGTGTAAAAGGTATTATTCTTTCCGAAAAAAAATAAAAAACTTGTATATAAGAAATAAAACCTTGAAATTCTGAAAATTCAGTACGATGTATGAAATTTTGATGACAAATTTTGTTATTCGAAATGCAAATTTCTTTTATTTTAATAGATTACGGAAGAAAGTGCCAACATAGCACTTTATGTAACGATAAGACTATCGTGAACCTTGATAAAGTATGATATGTAGTTTATGCCTTAATTAATATATAATTATCTAATAATTAATATAATTATCTTATCTAAAATGCAATTATCTAAGACAACTATAATTGTTATCAATTTGAACACTACACCTTTTTCTGTATTCAAAAATATCGTTCTATATCCACTCTAACAGCTATCCACGAGACGGCTAATTAAACCACGTTTAGTCGCTCTTTAATTTAATATGTTTCAAAAACGAAATAATGTATATTTTATTTAATTGACCACAGATTAAAATATTCCCCAGTCGCTTATCAAAATGCTAATTCAATACATTTGGACACTAAAAATACCGAACAAAAATTATTTTAAAATTAATTTCTTTGCAAACCAGTAATTATATTATAATATAATTTTTTTATAATTGGAAATTTTGATAATTTCTTTTTGCTCTTGGGTTTTAGGCAAATTTTTAATTTGCAGCATCAACTCTAGGTTTTTAGGCAATTCTTAATTGCAGCATCATTTGGCGTATTTATCTTTCCAAAGATATCAGATATCTATTTTGTCATAGACGACAAATAAATTAAACATATAATTATATAAAATTAAATAATTGTAACTAAGAATAGATTCGAAAGATGATTGAACCTTTTTATTGTATTGAGACAGGTTCAAGGACGTTTTTGTGTTTTTCTTCATTTGTTTTATTTACTTGGTAAAAATATAAAACAAATATTGACAACTATTTGCAATTTTTTTTTATCATTTTTAAATTAATTTTACAGATGATCTATGTAGCCCAACACAGATCTACTCTCACAACAAAGGGGGTGCATGGGGGCCTACATTCATTCATTCACACTTTTATTCCCAGAAAAATAATATAAAAATCGATCAGATTTCTTTACCTGGACATTTTTTTATTAACGAATTTTTATAAAAATGTATGATTTATATGTAGCCAAATAAATATATTTTAAAATTGAGAAATATTTAAATAAATAAAATAAGTTAAAGAATCCAAAATTAATATAGAGCAGAATAAATATTTTTTAAAATCTACGATGAGTGAGCATTACAAAAAAAAAATTAGAAATCCAATTGAAATTGAATAAATTCAAGATCTCAAGTCAGAAAAAATATTTTAAAAAACGTACCAAAACCCAGATTTTTTTACATCACAGGAAAAAATATTTTTTTTTTAAATCCCCACTTTATATATAGGAGGAAAAAATTATTTTTATATCTACGATTCTACCGTTTATATATAGCAGAAAAAAAAATATTTTTAAAAGTTCACGACTTATATATAGCAGGTTTTTTAATTCACGATTTATATATAGCAGAAAAAATATTAAAAAATCCACGACTTATTTATAGCAGGAAAAAAATATTTTTAAAAAATCCACTACTTATATATAGCAGGACAAAATATTTAAAAAAATCCACCATTTATATATAGCACGAAAAAATTATTTTAAAAAGTCCACCATTTTTATATAGCACAAAAAAAAATCACAACTTATGTATAGCAAAAATATAGGAAAAATAATTCTTACAAATCCCCGATTTTTATATAGAAGGAAATATTTTTCTTTTTAAAATCCACGACTTATATATAGCAGAAGTAGTTTTAAAAATATGCAAATTTTTTTTCAAAAATTCATAATTTATTTATAGCAAGAAAGAATTATTTTTAAAAAATACACAATTTATAGATAGCAAGAAAAAATTATTTTAAAAAAGCCACGAGTTATATATTGCTGGAATTTTTTCATTTTAAATCCACGATCTACATATAGCAGGAAAAAATATTTTAAAAGAATCCACTATTTATACATAGCAGTAAAAATCCACAATTTGTACATTTTTTTTAAATCTAAAATTTATATATTGCAGGAAAAAAATACTTTTAAAAATCTACTATTCATACTGGAAAATATATATAGCTGGAAAAATTCAGAAAAAAATAATTATGAATGTTTGATTTATATATAGCAGGAAAAATTTATTTTTAAAAATCCACGATTAAAAATTAACAGATAATTTTAAAAATCAAATATTTTCTAACCAAAAAATATTAAAAAAAACTACAATTGAACAGTGTTGTTTGTTCGGGATACCATAGTATTTTGTTGTTGCAAAATGGTAAGGCTTAATCCCTTTATTGTTGTTTTTATAAAAACAACGTTTGTTTATTAGTGGAGAACGATGGTAATGTTTATCAGGGGGTAAGGCAGGGAATACCTAGGTTTCGGAAAGAGCCACCAATACTCATCAGTTCCCTTGTTTTTTGTCTGGGAATTAACAAGAAAGGTCTAATAAAAAGTAAAATAAAATCTTTTAAAAAATCTGCAAGTTATTTAAATGTGCGAAGTTTGAAAAAAGTCTGATACTGATGTTAAATATTTTTTGGGGTATTCAGAAAGGAGCGAAGCCGTTTTTTGATTTGCCCCCGTGGAATAAGTTGCCGTTGCCATTCAATAACTCGAGCCCTTCCATGAATTGGCCAATGATGGTTACCGTTACAAGAACGTCTTGATGCCAGCCACTTGCTTCCAACGAATTCTTGCCCGCTGTCCAACAAGAGGCCAGTTTACGAATATGCCACTGTAGACAAAGATGCCAAAAAAAAAAACTGTCCCCGTTCATGAATTGGTTTTGTTGCAATGGCCTCCAACCTAAAGCTGTTATTAATATGACCATATTTTTAATACCCTTCACCATATATGGTTTGGAATTGTCTGAAATTCTACACAAGGAGTTCTTTGTGAGTACTTTACCCACTGAAAGAGAATTTTCGCATTTGATGATTTTAGCCATATTTTTCAACAGAATTGTCTGAAATTCTACACAAGGAGTTCTTTGTGTCACACATAGATTTGTCTATATAGGTCCACAATATCGTATATCCCCCATATAACGGCACCTTCCGATATTCGGTATTTTTAAGATTTTAACATAATTTTATTTTTTCGAAATTTTGGTGGAGGGTATCTGAATAGCGGTTAGGCTGAACATACATTTTTTTCTGTTTTTGTTTTTTTTTTTTTTTTTTTTTTTTTTTGAAAAATGGAAGTTTTGTGTGGACCTAAAGCCAAATCGATACACTACTATATCGACTCCAAATATTTCATTTTTCTTCTCATTCCTCAGTGAGAAACCAACACCAGAGGTAAATTTTGTTGCACGGTATGAACGTTTAAATTCCCGTCCGCCATTAAAATTAAGTCCCCAAAAAATTCGAAACTGTTAACACTTCGTTTCCCATTTTGAAATATTAACAAAAATTTCAATATTTTTACAAGTTCACATTACATGTTGTGCCAGAATTTTGTAACCAGGTCACACGTTTTAGTTTTTTTTTTTTTTTTGATCTCTGATATTTTTCGAATCTAAATAAATTATTTAATCCATATTTATGAGATTGGTCCCATTTTTTTCCTTTTTTTTTAATTTATTATTATTAAGTTCTATCAGTTTCTTTGTTTCCACCGGCATTGTTTTAAAATTCTTTTATCATCAATTTTTTATTTTATTTTGGGAAATTTCGCAAATTTTATTTCAATTTTTTATTATTATGTTTTTAATCCTTTGCAATAATAGAAAACCACTGTGCACCACATGAAAAAAAAAAATATAATTTTTTCAATTTATTTTCGCAACATGAGGAAGACAAGCTTCAGCAGGAGCAGCCACACCAAACAACATCGATCGATTTGTTACAAATGAATATTGATCATAAAACTAAATTTTACAAAGGCCCAATCTGGCTGGCTGGCAAATTTGAATCATGGCTCTAAAATCAAACCAATTAAAAGTGAATAAATTAAAAAAAAACGATACAATCGAATCAAAATTATCGCTCTCTAAATATAGCTACAACAATTTCAAAGATTAAACAAATTATAGTTTTTTTTTTAATTTTTGTTGTGTGTTCCCAAAAGATATAATACATCTTAAATGATTTTGCCCAACTACAACATCATCATCATCGCCATATGATGATAATCATTATTAAGTTTATGGTTCTAGAGGCGATGATGTTGTGTTTTTTTTTTTTTTTTTTGTTCTTGCCTTCATTAGATTTCTATTTTCTTTCTTTTAACCCTTCTTTTTTGTGGCTGGTGATGCGAACTTTTACAGCCAGCTGATGTTGACGCGGCCGTCTAGCTTGGCCTGAGCTCTTGAGCATATGCGTGCGTGTGTGTGAGTGCGTATCTTTGCTGATCTGTCGGCTGGCGGTATAACTCTTTGTTTGGATGTTACCAATATTGTTGTTTGTTTTGTTTTTTTACGTTTTTTTGGCAATTCTGTCTATGGCCGATCTATCCACCGACTACTCTACACAATAGTTTCCATGCGAAGAGCCAACTATCTATTCTCACATGTGTGTGCGTGTGTGTGCGTTTTTTTGCCATCTTTTTTTTTTTCGATCCGCAAAATAAGAATTACAAATTACCAAACTTTGGTTCGATTGGCGATGCTCAGACGCTCTCAGTTTTACTCCGATTTGTGTATAAATAGTAAGAAATAGTTCTGTGACTACAACATTCTACTCTTAGAGTTACTACTGTAAGCATAGCTAGTTCTGCCTGCAGTGTGTAAAGTCAGTGGATTAGTAAGTTCGGATTACTAAGGAAAAGAGAAAAGAAAAAGAAACAAAAATGGTAGGTTTTGCTTTTTTTGGCCCGGATTATATGCCTAGAGGTTTGCTAACGTGGTCGTGTCCTTTCTTTATTTCGTTGTAGAAATTGTTCCTCATTGCCTTTGCTGTGATTGCAGCTGTCGCTGCTGACGTCAGCCATTTGCCCTCCAACGAATACTTGCCACCCCAGCAAGTTTCTGTGGCCCCTGTAGCCCCTCAGCCCAGCAACGAATACTTGCCCCCTGTTCAACAACAACAACAAGAGGTCCCAGTTGTTGAAGCCGCCCCCGCTCACGAATTGGCCGATGATGGCTACCGTTACAAGACCCACCGTCGCGTTGTCTACCGTCGTCATCGTCGTGATGTCAGCCACTTGCCTTCCAACGAATACTTGCCCCCTGTCCAACAAGAAGCCGCCCCTGTCTACGAACCTGCTCCCGTAGAACAAGTGTCTGTTGTTGCCCAAGAAGCTGCCCCCGCCCATGAATTGGCCGATGATGGTTACCGTTACAAGACCCACCGTCGCGTTGTCTATCGTCGCAACCGTCGTGATGTCAGCCACTTGCCCTCCAACGAATACTTGCCCCCTGTCCAACAAGAAGCCGCCCCTGTCTACGAACCTGCCCCCGTAGAACAAGTTTCTGTTGTTGCCCAAGAAGCTGCCCCCGCCCATGAATTGGCCGATGATGGTTACCGTTACAAGACTCACCGTCGTGTTGTCTACCGTCGCAACCGTCGTGATGTCAGCCACTTGCCCTCCAACGAATACTTGCCTCCCCAACAAGAAGCCGCCCCCGTTGCCGCTCCCACCAACGAATACTTGCCCCCTGTCCAAGCTGATGCTGAACCCGCTCATGAAGTAGCTGCCGATGGTTACCGTTACAAGACCCACCGTCGCGTTGTCTACCGTCGCAACCGTCGTGATGTCAGCCACTTGCCCTCCAACGAATACTTGCCTCCCCAACAAGAAGCCACCCCAGTTTACGAACCTGCTCCCGTAGAACAAGTTCCTGTTGCCGTTCAAGAACCCGAGCCCGCCCATGAATTGGCCGATGATGGTTACCGTTACAAGACCCACCGTCGTGTTGTCTACCGTCGCAACCGTCGTGATGTCAGCCACTTGCCCTCCAACGAATACTTGCCCCCTGTCCAACAAGAAGCCGCCCCTGTCTACGAACCTGCCCCCGTAGAACAAGTTTCTGTTGTTGCTCAAGAAGCTGCCCCCGCCCATGAATTGGCCGATGATGGTTACCGTTACAAGACCCACCGTCGTGTTGTCTACCGCCGCAACCGTCGTGATGTCAGCCACTTGCCCTCCAACGAATACTTGCCTCCCCAACAAGAAGCCGCCCCCGTTGCTGCTCCCACCAACGAATACTTGCCCCCCGTTCAAGCTGATGCTGAACCCGCTCATGAAGTAGCTGCCGATGGTTACCGTTACAAGACCCACCGTCGCGTTGTCTACCGCCGCAACCGTCGTGATGTCAGCCACTTGCCCTCCAACGAATACTTGCCTCCTGTCCAACAAGAAGCCGCCCCTGTCTACGAACCTGCCCCCGTAGAACAAGTGTCTGTTGTTGCCCAAGAAGCTGCCCCCGCCCATGAATTGGCCGATGATGGTTACCGCTACAAGACCCACCGTCGCGTTGTCTACCGTCGCCACTAAAGAACATCACTCTAGCATCTTTTTCAGATCTTGAAAAATATCCTCAGATTTTTACTGGGGGCGCGAACATCCATAGCATTATTTGATAAGACTTTACATTCTCAGACGCGTTCTTTAGCCAAAATCCATTGACTTGAAACTATGAGAAACACACAATAAAACGTAAAACCAACAAAATATAAAAAAAAACCGTATTTTCTTTTCTTTATCTTTTTCTTCTGCCTTTCTTGTGGTACTTTTTACGCTTCTCCAATCAAAACAAAACAAAATTAATTGCCCTGGTCATTTGTCTCAGCCTTAGCGTCAGCTTCAGTTTCTAATGTTATTAAAGCTATTCTAGCTTAAGTAGCGGCAAACCTGCTGGGCGGGCAGAGGAGCAAAAGGCTTTGTTGCTGAGCTCCCACAAGACTGGATTTCGTCAACCAAAAAAAAGCAGAAAACCCGTCGAGGGTTTTAAATTATAAAAGTCCATAAATAATTATGATTGTCTTGCATGCAGAATTTATGCAAATGTCCCGAATCCCGGGTAATTTGTTGTGACTATAAAAGGCTGGTAATTTGGCCAGTACAAGTATCATTTTCTCTTGGATTCTTCCGGCGATAGGAGATAAACGTTCCAACAATGGTTAGTAATACCGCGAGTGAGCGGGCTTTGAAAGTCACCCTTAGACAATTAATTGAATTAATTTTTGTGGTTTCTTTTTTAGAAAATCTTTATTGCTTTGTGCGCCCTGGTGGCCGTGGCAACTGCTGATGTCAGCCATTTGAGCAGCGAATACTTGCCACCTCATGAAGGTCATGCCTCAGCTCCTGTAGCTTCCTACAGTGCTCCTGCTGTTTCCGCTTCATACTCTGCCCCAGCTGCTTCGTACTCTGCACCAGCTGTTGCTTCTTACTCTGCTCCAGCTGCTGCCGCTTCCTACTCCGCCCCAGCAGTCGCCTCCTACTCTGCCCCAGCAGCCACCTCCTACTCTGCCCCAGCTGCCACCTCCTACTCGGCCCCAGCTGCCACCTCCTACTCGGCCCCTGCCGCAACCTACAGCGAATCTTATGACACCGGTGCTTCTGCTCCTGCCCACACCTTCTCCTCCGCCGAAGGTTACAAATACAAGACCAACCGTCGTCGCGTCTATCGTCGCCGTCATCGCCGTGATGTAAGCACCGAATACTTGCCACCCTTCCAAGGTGCTGGTTCTGCTCCATCCAGTGAATACTTGCCACCAGCTGCTTCTGCTCCAGCTCCATCATTCGCTGCTGCCCCAGCTGCATCATTCGCTGCTGCTCCAGCTGCTTCATACTCTGCCCCAGCTGCTACCTATTCCGAATCTTATGACACTGGTGCTTCGGCTCCAGCTCACTCCTTCTCATCGGCCGATGGTTATCGTTACAAGACCAACCGTCGTCGTGTCATTCGTCGTCATCGTCGTTTCTAAGCTGGGAATGGGAAGAATTTTTTTCCGAAAAAATTCGTTTAGCTAGCTGAAAGCCTTGAAATCCAATAAAGAAAAAATGTAATTAAAAAAATATTTGTTTTATTGCAACTTTTAAATCAATCGGTAGGAATTTTGTTGATGGACCTAATTGGCAATATTCTTTAAAAGAAGGTCAAACATAATTTTTGAAAAAAATATTACTGAATCCTTCTGAAAACCTTTGAAACCAGTTAGAAAATAAAATATGTAAAAATATGTCTGTGCTTGCCGAAATTCCAGTATTCGAGTGGTATACGTCACTTCTTCTGTCACAGTAGGCATAACTTATTATGAACTTCAAGTCATGATTTTATCCTCAAAATATCGAATATGGGAAGGTCCAATTATATGGTGGCTAAGGACAACAGTAGACTGCTATAGGGGGGTAGAACCCATTATAAACTTTAAATACTGAATTTGAAACTATGTATACCTTTCGAATGTGTGTCTAATATCGTCAGAATACCAAATATGGCGTAAAATTGTCAAAATACGGGAAGATAAAATTATATGAATTCTTCCGAAGACGTTGACCAATATAGCTCATCTTCGAACTTGGCTGGTGCGACAAAATCCAATTTTTCCAAATTGTTGGAAAAATCGGAATTTTTATAAAAAAAATTGCTCAAAAAATTGTATGAACTACGGTTGTGCGGTTGTTTTAGAAGATTACATCGGGAGTAATCCATGCATTTCAGGTAGATAATTCTTTGGACAACATTGCTAGCAAAAGAAAGGGTATATATCATTTGATACGGCCAGAACGTGCCTCATCGAAATAACGGTTTTCGACCCTAGGTATCTTTGGACCAAATCCGTTTCAGGACATTTCGATCTAGCGATGTCCGTCCGTCTATCTGGCTGGCTCATCGAAATAAAGGTTTTAGACCCTAGGTATCTTTGGACCAAATAGATCTAGCGATGTCCGTCCGTCTATCTGGCTGGCTGATGCGCACGATAACTCTCGAAGATAGTATCCGATTTGGTTCAAACTTGGTACATCGTAATATTATTATCAAACTTAGATTGAGTTCGAAGTTGGGCAATATCGATGCACTCCTTCTGGTAGTTCCTCCACAAAAGGTCGAAAATTTCAAAAAAAAAAAAAAATATTTTACTGCACAGAAAAGGAAAGAATAATCCGATTTTACTCAAACTTTGCAAATAATAATATTTCCATCAGTGTTACGACAGGTGCAAAAATGAATAATGTCGGTCCAATTATCTTCAAATTACTCACATCACATCATTTTTATTAACCCAAGGTTTGGTGTAACAACGGAATATATCGGATGACTTCTTCAGGTACCTCCCCCACAAAGAATTAACATTTTAAATATACGTGAAGCTCGTAAAACGCGAAATTAAGGGTTAACATAGGGTTCAAGATTTTGAAAAACAAAATACTCAAAATGCTTGCAAATTTCACACATACAAACATTTTTGCTAACACAAGGTCTGTTGTGAATATGATATATAACTGCGAACCCCTTATGATACCTCCCCCACAAAAGGTCACAATTTGGAACGACCAAAAGAATTATAAATGCGAAGTAAGCATCCAATTCCCTTCAAATTTCACAGATCCCAATATTTCTCTCAATCGATAGGATATATCGATCCACTCCATCTGATACCTTCCCCACAAAGGGTCAACATTTTGATTATCCACGAAAGCCATAAAACGCGAAATTAACATCCAATTCCATTCGAACTTGGCACATCTCAATATTTCCATCAACAAAAGTTCTGTTATAAAAATGTTGAAGATCGAACCATTTCTTCTGATACCTCCCCCACATAGGATTCAAGATTTTGAAAAACAAAACGCTCAAAGAAAGAGTTTTATCTGTTTAGATGAAGTATGAAAATGAAATACTTCGGTTCATTATATCTGGCACCTCACACACATTTTAACATTATCTACAAATGATCACATATCTGATATAAAGTGAAGGTAATTTCAATATTTATATCATATTTTTTATGTCCGATACGAAATTGACAATATTGGCCCATTCCTTCGGAACTTACTCCGAAAATTTGTCGAAAATTTGTATAATCATAACAGAAATCAAAATACATTTAAATAATCGAACATTGGCTGAGGGTATATATCTGCCGGAAAAAAAACGACGGATACTTTCAACTTGTTTTTATACCCTCCACAATATTAGAGAGTTTCCGTTTGTAACACCTCGAAATGTACATTTTAGACCCCACAAAGTATATAAGTGCGTGATCAGCATAAAATTCTATGTCGATTTAGCGATGCCCGTCCGTCTGTCCGTCTGCGGAAATCACTTTAGCTTCCGAACGTAATGAAGTAGGTTAATAAAATTTTACTGAAATGTATATTATGTCTGCAGGACTTTTGGTATTGAAAATGGGCCATTAAGGCCCACTTTTTGGTACAGCCTCCATATATTGGTACCTCCCGATATTCGGTATTTTGATGATTTTAGCGACATTATTCGCCGAAATTGTTTCAGATGTGTTATTTAAAGTTCGTAATCGATACTACAGCCTTTGAATTCTCCCTCTTATTATTAGCGAACGTTACTTTACATATGCACATATAAGTATACCCTACAACACTATGTATTGGGGGTATTGCAAGTTTGATTGGGCCAACAATTATGTAACACCTCGAAATATTGGTTTCCCACATAGGAAAGTATATATGGATCTTCCTATCTCGCCGAGCTGAGTCGATCTAGCTATGTATGTATGTCCGTCCGTCCGTCTGTCCGTTTGTCCATGTTAATTTGTAATCACTCTACAGGTCGCAATTATAGTTCGATCTTCACGAAATTTAGAATGGAGGTGGGGTTTGGGCCAGAATAGAATCCTATTTCTTTTGGAGATGATCGCATAATATTTAGTTGTTGAAATGGGCCAAATACAGTAAAAAATCTTTATTTTGCAGTTGCTCTACAGGTCGCAGTTATAGACCAATTGACTCGGAAGTTAGCATATGGCTAGAGCTTAAGGCTGGGCAGAAGTCTTCCAATTTTGATGGTAATCGGGTAATATTTAGTGGGTGAAAAGGTCATGACACTTGTGTTAAATAAAATCAAATTTTTCATTAAACCGCGAATATTTTTAATCCCGGCGAAATCGCAAAAAGACGAACAGGTCAATCCTGACCGTTACGTAGATGCCGATAGTAAATATATCGGTTATATATAGCGAAATATATACAATGTGTATATACAAAGGAAGGGGATGTTAGTTAGAATGCTCATATCTCAAGAATGGCTGGACCGATTTTGACAAATATTGTCAATTCAGAATGGCATAAGAGAATGAAATCAAAAAAAATCGCTTAAAAATTTGCCAATAATGGTGTTATTATAGATTTTGTAGCGTTTTGTGGCATTTTTTTATTTTTTCATATTTTTTATCGCATGCGATTTTTTCAATTTGACTTATAATATTGAAATGTACATTTTGTAAAATTTTTTCACCTTACAACACGGGTTGGGGTTATTATATACAGATTGGAATTATCGTCCGATCTTCACGAAAATTTTCACAAGGGTAGGGTTAGGCTCAGAAGAGCAATTGTTTTCAAAGATGACCGCAATATATTTAGGGGTTGAAATGGACCAACCACTAAAAATGTTCCCGATTTTGCAGCAGTTTTAAGGTCGCAAATAGAAACCAAAGTACAACAGGTAGAATGGACCACTGTTTTTGTGTGAAAAAAATACCAACATTACTTACAGGCGATATCCGAAATACACAAAAGGCGAACTTCTGGCTTTTTTTATGCTGATTTCGTTGATGAATATAGCCAAATATCGTAGACAAGCAAATCATATTGATGGGTCTAAATTTGTAGATGCAGAAACGCTTCTTGCTTTTGGAGATGATAGCAAAATATTAAGGGGCTCAAACGAACCGAAACAGAAAAAAACTACTGATCACACAATTGAAGCCAATCGACATGCCTGAGAAGAGAGTTAAGGATAGGGAAGAATTCTAGCTTTTTGGATGACCATTGGATTATATTTAGCTGTAAAATGGACCACAAAAACTAACAGCACGACGGAGTGCGCAAATGTCCCTGGTCAAAATGGTAAGGGCAATATCTGGGCAGTACTCCATGACAAAATTTCAAAAGCGAAATCTTCCAAAATGGACTTGGACATAAGGGAATCACCCTAACATATTGTAGTGTTGTAGGGTATCACATGGTCGGCCCCGCACGACTGTTGCCTTTGCTTACTTGTTTAATTTTATTTAGAAACAAAAACATTTTTCTTTCGGCTGAAGCATTTTTTCAGAAAACTGCAACCGAATTATTTTGCAATGCCGAGTTGATAAATGAAGCTGATTTTTGACAAATTACAGTGGGTTTTCATATATCTGTCGCTGATGAAAACAATTTTAAGGCGCTTACGATGTCACAAACTATTCTCATGGACTTCACCTTATACTCTCTATAATCTTTGCTTCCATCAAAACACCATTTCCAAAACTATGTAAAGTTGATTTTATTATTCGTCATTAATTGATTGAAAACTGCGATTTTATGTTCTAAGATACGAGAGGAGGCCTTAGCCATTAGATCTATTTTTATATGGATTCAAGCGTCTATTTTTAGGACCCCTTGGAGTTGCTTGATTATATATTATAGAGCTATGTATGGTATTTTATGGTTGTTGTCTCCAAGGGTTATTTTAAACTGTGTACCACAACGAAACACTCTTCTCAATCAGTGGACCAATATATATTGAACTCCATGGATGTGTTTGATTTACTTTCAATTCTTTTTTTTTTTCAATATCTCAACATAAACAATTCAATGTGACGAATCAGGCATCAATAACCTTTGCATAAAAAGAAAACCGAACAACACTTCAAAATCGTGTTTAAAAATTGTATATTTTTTTTTCTTAAAATAGAAAGGAAACAAACCATAAATAAATAACAAAAACCGCTATTCATTTCGTTCGCGACTTCTTCTTCTTTTTTTTGAAAAATTGCATTGATTTGGAAAACTGACCGGCTATGTGGCTATTTTTATGCTGATCTACAGCAATAACAATGCAAGCAGGGCAGGGTTTGAAACAAGCTTTTTGAGAGACTCATTTATTCTACTTCCTTCAGGTTGCAATAGAAAGGAAACAGAAAACCTGTAGACTGCATAAAATTAAACAAAAAAATTAAACGAAACGAAGTGCACACATGCCAAATCATAACTAATTATGAGTAAATTAAAATTAGAATTAACAAATTAAAATCTAGCCACCGTTTCTTTTTCTGGTATATAAGCGCACCCTCGCCATCGAATAGAGTATCATTTTCTCTTGGTTTCTAAAGCGGATAAGAGATAAGCCCACTCAAAATGGTTAGTAGAAAGTTAATAAAAAAGAAACAATTAAATAAAATTATTATTATTATGTGTTGAAGTGTTAAATTCTAATTTTGAAATTTTTAATTTTTTTTCAGAAACTTTTTGTTGCCCTCTTTGCCTTGGTAGCTATGGCTACAGCCGATGTCAGCCACCTCAGCAGCTCATACTTGCCACCCCATGAATCTCACGCTTCGGCACCAGCTCCATCCTACTCGGCTCCAGCTGTTGCTGCCTCTACTCCTGTAGCTTCGTACTCGGCACCTGCTGCTTCTTACTCAGCTCAAGCTTCATACTCTGCCCCAGCTGCTCCTGCTGCTTCTTACTCAGTCCAAGCCTCGGCTCCAGCTGCTTCTTACTCTGCCCCAGCTGCCGCTGTTTCCTACTCTGCTCCAGCTGCTGCTTCTTACTCTGCTCCAGCTGCCGCTTCTTACTCCGCTCCTGCTGCTACCGCTTCCTACTCTGCTCCTGCTGCTGCCGCTTCCTACTCTGCTCCAGCAGCCGCAGCTCCCGCTGCTTCTTACTCTGAATCCTATGAAACTGGTGCCTCTGAGCCTGCCCACACCTTCTCCTCGTCTGAAGGTTACAAATACAAGACCAACCGTCGTGTTGTCTACCGTCGCCGTCATCGTCGTGATGTCAGTGCTGAATACTTGCCTCCCGTTCAAGGTGCTGCTTCTGCCCCAGCTGGTGAATACGCTTACTCTGCCCCAGCTGCTTCCGCTCCAGTTGCTTCATACTCTGCTCCAGCTGCCGTTTCTTACTCTGCTCCAGCTGCTGCTTCTTACTCCGCTCCAGCTGCCGCTTCTTACTCTGCCCCAGCTGCTTCCTACTCTGCCCCAGCTGCTTCTTACTCTGAATCCTATGAAACTGGTGCCTCTGAGCCAGCCCACACCTTCTCCTCGGCTGAAGGTTACAAATACAAGACCAACCGTCGTCGTGTCATCCGTCGTCACCGCCGTTTCTAGACTGTGAGACTATTTAAAATAAAATAGTTATCACCTAAGCAATAGATACAATTGTAACAATGCCATATAGCTCAATTATTATGACTTCCACTTTTTGCGGAAGAATCGAACATTTTGCAATAGTACGAGATTTATTTTTTAAATCATCGAAATAAAGGATAATACAATAGATTTGAAAATATAAAGTTCTTACTCTGTGAATGCCATTCTGGAAGAAAGAAAGTAAGTATGGAACTTGCAAAATTTATTCGAGGTCCTGGAATCTCACATTATTTTACACTGAGCAACATAAAAATTAACCACAGGCGTATACGTCGTTTTGAATGTTTATGTCGCCAAGTAACTTAAATATGGAGGGCTGGTTTCCCACCTCCACCACATTTTTTTATTTTATTTTTATACCCTTCTCCACATAGTGTTAAGGGTTTGTTTGTAACATGGTGAAGGAAGCGGGATAGACCCGTACTTACTTTTGAGGATATTCATAGAATCATTTTCTGAGTCGATTTATGCATGTTAGTCCGTCTGTCCATGTATTTATGTGAACAATACGCAGGCCGCATCTGCCGCTGTTTCCTACTCTGCTCCAGCTGCTGCTTCTTACTCTGCTCCAGCTGCCGCTTCTTACTCCGCTCCTGCTGCTACCGCTTCCTACTCTGCTCCTGCTGCTGCCGCTTCCTACTCTGCTCCAGCAGCCGCAGCTCCCGCTGCTTCTTACTCTGAATCCTATGAAACTGGTGCCTCTGAGCCTGCCCACACCTTCTCCTCGTCTGAAGGTTACAAATACAAGACCAACCGTCGTGTTGTCTACCGTCGCCGTCATCGTCGTGATGTCAGTGCTGAATACTTGCCTCCCGTTCAAGGTGCTGCTTCTGCCCCAGCTGGTGAATACGCTTACTCTGCCCCAGCTGCTTCCGCTCCAGTTGCTTCATACTCTGCTCCAGCTGCCGTTTCTTACTCTGCTCCAGCTGCTGCTTCTTACTCCGCTCCAGCTGCCGCTTCTTACTCTGCCCCAGCTGCTTCCTACTCTGCCCCAGCTGCTTCTTACTCTGAATCCTATGAAACTGGTGCCTCTGAGCCAGCCCACACCTTCTCCTCGGCTGAAGGTTACAAATACAAGACCAACCGTCGTCGTGTCATCCGTCGTCACCGCCGTTTCTAGACTGTGAGACTATTTAAAATAAAATAGTTATCACCTAAGCAATAGATACAATTGTAACAATGCCATATAGCTCAATTATTATGACTTCCACTTTTTGCGGAAGAATCGAACATTTTGCAATAGTACGAGATTTATTTTTTAAATCATCGAAATAAAGGATAATACAATAGATTTGAAAATATAAAGTTCTTACTCTGTGAATGCCATTCTGGAAGAAAGAAAGTAAGTATGGAACTTGCAAAATTTATTCGAGGTCCTGGAATCTCACATTATTTTACACTGAGCAACATAAAAATTAACCACAGGCGTATACGTCGTTTTGAATGTTTACGTCGCCAAGTAACTTAAATATGGAGGGCTGGTTTCCCACCTCCACCACATTTTTTTATTTTATTTTTATACCCTTCTCCACATAGTGTTAAGGGTTTGTTTGTAACATGGTGAAGGAAGCGGGATAGACCCGTACTTACTTTTGAGGATATTCATAGAATCATTTTCTGAGTCGATTTATGCATGTTAGTCCGTCTGTCCATGTATTTATGTGAACAATACGCAGGCCGCATCTTAATCCAATTCAGATGAAACAAATCAAACAATATTGGTTTGGCCCAAGGATGAATCCTATTGAAATTGGCGAGAATCGGTTCAAAATTATATATAGCTCCCATATATATTATCGACCGATTTCGGTTTAATTGTACACCTAATGGCCTATATCTGTCCAAATGACCTGCATTTTGGCACATCCCATCTATATATTTCATCAGATTTTGGGGTTTGAGTCCCTAAATTGCACTCCACAACAATGACCTTTGGTACCAGACATCAGATGCAGACTAGAAATACCATCGTCAAAATTTTGTCAAGATCGGTTCAGGTTTGGATATAGGTTACATATATCTTTATCCGATTGCGAGTTTATTGTTCACCAAATGACTAATATCAGCCCTAATGGACTAAATTTTGGCATTTCCGACGGGTTTCAATAAATCTGAAAAAAAATAAAAGGTATAACAAAATATTATATAAAATATTCCCATTTTTACTAGGAGCTCTTTATGCGATTTTTTCAGATTTTATTTTTTTTTTTGCCAAAAGAGCATTCTGATTTGGTGAGAAATGTCAAAATCCGTCCAGCCATTCCTGAGTTATAAGGTTCGTTAAACCAAACACTTTTTTGATATATGAGATTGTATATATTTTGCTATATATGCGATATCTTGGATATCAGCATCAAAGTAACAGTCCTTAATTGGAATAACTTCAAAATCAGGAATATCTTCGGTTTTTTGGTCCATATCAACCTAAATATCTTGCGATCATCTCCTTAAACAATAGTCTTCAATTCTGACCTTAACCCTATCTACATGCTAAATTTCGTGAGGATCGGGGCATAATTGCAACCTGTAGCGTGATTACAAATTAACATTGACAGACGGATATGCATAGCTAGAGCGGCTCAGCTCGGCGAAATAGAAAGATTCATTTATTACTTTCTACGTCGTGGATCAATATTTAGGTATATTTCATAATTTTTGAATACTTCATTATAATACAAGTGAAAAAGCAGTTGAGTTCGGCCAGGCCGAACATTTTTTTCCACTGGAAGAAATTGAAAATTTTCAAAAAAGCTCTGTCGAAAAATACCGACAAAAAATATGGGGGTATACGAAGACGTGGTCCTGCATAAGTAATTTTTTTCATAGGCTATAGTAACGGTTCCGAACTTTATATACGAAATTTGAAATAATTCCGGTGAATAATGTCGCAAAAAATGATGAAAATACCGATGGCCGCTATACTGAAACGTGGACCTATTAAGACAATTCTCTTCTAAGGGGCTTAAGGCAATTCCATTGAAAAACTTGGCTGAAATCATAAAAGTACCGAATATCGGCGGGTACCGTTATATGGGGACCATACGATATCGTGGACCTATATTGATAATTCTCTTCCAGGGGATAAAGTACAAGGAACTCCTTGTGTGAATTTTTAGACAATTACGTTAAAAAATGTGGCTAAAATCATCAAAATACCGAATATCGGGGGGTACCGTTGTATGGGGAATATACGATATCGTGGACCTATATAGACAATTATCTGTCAAGGGGTAAAGTACTCAGAAATAACTTCTTGTGAAGAATTTCGGACAATTCCATTGGAAAATGTGGCTTACATCGTCAAAATACCGAATATCTGGGGGTACCGTTAATACGGGGTCTATACGATATCGTGGACCGATATAGACAATCTTGCCTGCAGACAAAAGACAGATCTGTGCAAAATTTTAGCTACCAATTTTAATTCATTTTGACTGTAGCGTGATTACAAGAGACGGACGGACGGACAGGGCTAAAATTATTATTTCGATAAGTTACAAACAGAATGACGAACTTAATATACCCTCCATACTATGTATGGTGGAGGTGTAACAAATAGTGTTGTAGGGAAAATAATAAAGTGAAAATTATATATTTTACGTTATTGGAAAGAGGGTATATTAAATCTGTCATTCCGGTTGTAACACCTCTAAATGTTCGTCATAGACCCCACAAAGTATATATATTAATGATCGGCAAAAAATTCTATTTCGTAGAGGTTTAAAATTTGCACAGTTGTTTGTATTGCGTCTAGGATGGTTGGTATTGAAAATGAGACATTTCGATCCATGTTTTGGTATGGCCCCCATATAACATAAACTTCCGATATTTGTGATTGTAATGGTTTTTTTACTTAATGGTGGAGGGAATTAAAAGTTCGGCCCGGCCAAACATAATGTCTGTTCACTTATTGAATGCTATCACGTTTAAATTCTGGGTCAGACTTTAGTTCAGGTATGAATGCAAATATGTTATTTGTGTGTAAGCAAAATGATAATAAAGATTGGCGATTTTCTATACATCCAGAGAAATATAGGGGAATTTCACTCAGTGTAATCGCCAAAAATGGTCAAAGTCCTTATATCCCTTATATTCCTCAGTAACCATTTAAAGTTCTATCAAAAAGCCCATTATATGTTGGTTCATTGTTATTTTCAGTATACACAGTTATATGCATCAAAAACATTAATTTGTGTATACATCTAAATTTAACCGGATACAAATAATCTTATAATATTCTCTGTTAGTCTGTCTATTATATAGTGTACCATATTTCGAGGCGCCCATAAGAATGCGTATAATTAAGTTTATATTCAATTGTAGAAATGTGGGATTGTGTTTTTGTAAAGCATGTATGCGGCAGGCACCCTGTACTTTTAAAAATATCTTATTTCCCTCCTAAGTGTCATATAATTTAGTAAATTTATGAAAGTGCTGAAAATGTTAAATATTGTTTTCTAATGCATATACAAAGAATGTAATTTTTTAGTTAAGAATGTAAATAATATCAACAAATTTGAATTTCTTTAAGAATATACAAATTACTCGTCCATCCTAAAAGTATGCTTAAGAATTATAATCTATTAGTTGTATGTTGGGTACGTTCAGTGATAACAATACATAAAGAGAAGAATTGCACAGTGTTGTGCCACACAATATAACATCTCTTTGACTGCATTAAATGTTTCTGAGAAAACATTTGGATTTATTTATTCCAAATGATTTCTCTTCCTTAAAGTTTTAGTTGGTGTAAGGACTATTTAGTACTAAAAATGAGCAATTGTTTTTTATTTTGACAAAAACTTTTAATCAAAATTTTATACATCGTACCATTTTTGCAAATTTTCAATGTTTAATATATTATTCAAGTTTTTACTTTTTGGAAGGAATATAAAAAAATATTTACCTTTTACGCCAAAAAGTCTTCAAAATCTTTCAGTTTAAAGTTTACCGAGGAGGATATTAGTAAAATCATTAAAGATTGGACCCACATCCAATTTTTCTACTGTGACGGCAAAAATCCTTCGTCATTTTTGCCCACACAAAATGCTATGATAAATTGCAATTTGCCCAGTCAAACTCTTGCGAGCAACCACACTTAATAAGGGTGAACCTTCATCGCAACAACAGATCATTGTCCACTCATCACTACCATTGGCGGTGATGAATACATGTGATGTTGTTGAGATAACCAAATTTTGTAAACAAGTTCCCGTTACTCAACTGCGAACACGTGGTGGAGCCGGGTATAAAAGGGCATTCGATGGCAGAACCCTGACAGTCAGTGCCAGACCGTGAACGTGGAAACACCAGCTTAGGTAAGTGACATCCTTCCTTAGAAGTACTTATCTAGGTCTCTAATCCTCGGACCGCGGTGGTACCCTAGAATATCCTTCTAGTCCTAGTTTCCTAGATCCTTGTAGTGCTTGAGTATTTACTAAGGTCTCTTGCAAACGTATCCTAGATCCTTGTAGTCCTTTTGACTTCACACCTTGTTAAGCGCTCATATATAGACAGCCATATAAGTCCTCTGGTCCTCACGAGAATACGGGCCTACAAGGATATTCAAGGCTAGGGCTGCAGGAGTCCTCAGAAAGTACTAAACCTAGGAATTAAGAAGGTATCCAAGGTTACAACTTCAAGAGGCTCTAATTAGGAAAAATACACAAGCTACGGCGGCAAGAAATCCTAACAAGTACTCAAACTATGACTGAAAACAAAAGGCAAAGCTACGGCTGAGACATTGAGACTCAAGCAAGGTTATGGCTGCATGAGGCCGTAATAAGATCTCAGACAAGATTCTAAAAGGACATACAATGATACTTACTGTAAAACACCTTAAACGTACTAAGATATATGAAGATACGGTTGCGAGAGACCTTAATATGGACTGAAGGAAGGATATTCTAGGCTGCCCAAGGCTGCGGCTGAAATATAATTTAAAAAGTACTCTTTCAAGGATCTACGAGTATGCGCAAGAATCTGACTTTAAAAAAAACTTCACTAAGGAACCAAGGCAAACCACTAAAAAGATATGCAAGGATATTATTGCGATGCACCACACTAAATAATGAAACATGGATCTGCAGGTAACTCAAGGTTACGGCTTCACGATACCTTAAAATGTAATCAGGCAAGTCTCAATAAGGATGCTACTTCAAGATACTTGATACAAGTCCGAAAATCTCACCAAATATCGTCCATAAACAGGAAAAGTAACCCCCTTGCAATGTTCCAAAGTAGGATCTTTCAATAATTTTTGTAAAATTAATGTGTAAAGTTCTGAAAATCTCGCCTTATCAAACCTCCCACCCCAATGCAAACTTGCAAAGTTCCAGCTTTTACCTATCGCTCAATAATAATATTGTACCATTTTGAACCTTTCAGTACTTTCCGCACAAATGAATAACAGATTTCTGCTGCTCTGCCGCCGGTGGTGCTGCCCCAAGATGGATGAAAAGAAGAGGGAAGAAGAACCTGAAGAGTAAGATGACGTCTGAGGCTAGAATCTTGTAATATATTGGCGAAGGTCACTTTTGGACCGAAAACGGGTGCGAAAAGTACTAAAATGTACTAAAAATTGTATACTTTTTATTGGGCAAACGTAATGACCTAGAATTCGAAAATTTGGAATGAGAGTCACTGACGAAGTGTATGATGAATGCAGGGAATGACCGTAAGGGTTTTTTTAAAGTTCTTATTATAAGTGCACGAAAAGTACTAAAATATACTATATTTGGTACCATTTCGTATCATGTGAATGGTTAGAGCTAAAAACTTGAAATTGGGAATGTAAATAAAAGTTAAGGTGTGTGTGTCGATGTAAGGAGGTAGATTTGAATGTGTAGTACAATTTGAATTTGGAGGTACGGATGGAGCTGAAATCCTGAATATGGGATGTCATAAAATGATCTAAACCTTATACAACTTGGTATTGGGTGAATAGATAGTGCTTGAAATTTGATAGTAGGGTTGCTCTTCATGTGTAGCCAGGACAAATGGAAAAAAATGGATTTCGGAAAAGGATACAATAATTGTACGAAAAGTACTGAATGGAAAAAATTGTACTGGGTAAAGGGTAAATTAGAAATTGAGGTCACTTACCATCTGGAATAAAGTTCTGATGGTGGTTTTACAAATGTGCACTGCAATTGAACGAACTTAATTTTGTATTGGATGAAGGAATAGCGGGAATAAAACTAGGATGGAGACTGTTTTAGATATGCTACAATGTTACTAAATTTGGTATGGGGTGAAGGGATGGAGCTGACATTCTGCAATTTAAAATTAAGGTCACTGTTGGTTTCTAGGGTTTGCATATGGAGACGTTGAATTAATTTTGGGTACTGTAACGACAGGATTTCTCCCCTTGGGCTAGAATAGCTCGTCGGGGTCCATGGGTTCGTACAGATATTTTAGTTATTGAGACAGAAAGAGAAAGACAGTGGTTTACGTTTTTATTTATGGTGGAACTTAAACTATATATAAACTATACATTATAACAACTATCCTACTCGTCATCGGCCCGGGATTGGTGGTTCTTCCACTCGAGACCTGGATAAGTACTCAAGAAACGGGTCAAGGATACAGGATCAGGGTGTTCAGGGTTCGGGATGGATTCAGTTCGAGAGACCTGGATAAGTACTCAAGCAGGCTACAGGATATTCAAGAATACGGCTGCAAGAGACCTTAATAAGTACTCAGACACTTCAGGATATTCAAGGATACGGTTGCGAGAGACCTTAATAAGTACTCAAGCACTACGAGGATCTAGGGTACGGTTGCAAGAGACCTTAATAAGTACTTAAGCACTACAAGGATCTAGGATACGGTTGCAAGAGACCTTGATAAGTACTCAAGCACTCCAAGGATCTAGGATACGGTTGCAAAAGGCCTTAATAAGTACTCAAGCACTCCAGAATATTCAAGGATATGGTTGCGAGAGACCTTAATAAGTACTCAAGCACTACAGTATATTCAAGGATACGGTTGCGAGAGACCTTGATAAGTACTCAAGCACTCCAAGGATCTAGGATACGGTTGCAAAAGGCCTTAATAAGTACTCAAGCACTCCAGAATATTCAAGGATATGGTTGCGAGAGACCTTAATAAGTACTCAAGCATTACAAGATATTCAAGGATATGGTTGCGAGAGGAGCATACCGATCCCAAATGTTCCCATCCCTCGAAAAACCTAATGTGTATTTTGCGAAAAGGAAAATAAGCAATATTAAAAATATATCATAAGATTTTTTTTTCCAGAATATTGATTTAAATCCCAATATTCAGGACAATACTATGACGCAGTTCCTGCGCTGAAATCATCAACATTGCGCCATTACGGACGATGCGGTCTGGTTTGATGCATTTTAAAACACCTGTCTAATTTTGAAGTGGATTGAAAGTTGCAGATTTAAGTTTTTCAACTTTGCGATTAAATGAAAACACGTTTTAAAGTTTTTTTTTTTTTGCATTTTTTAAAAAAAATCCCAGCTACTGCTTTTGAATCTGGCGATTCAAGAAGGATTTCCAAATTATTCTTAAAAAGCATTTCATTTGGAATAATGAATTCGTTATTTATTGCCAATAAATTAAAATAGATAAATAAATATTTGAATTTTGTTTTCTTTCGTTGTATTTTTCGAAATCACTAAAAATAACTTAACATAATATCAACACTTCAACTAAAAATATTTCCAAAAGTTTCGAAATAAATTACCTTAATTGCATTGAAAATGCTTGAGGAATTTAAAGTCTTACTAAAGGTATTCTTTGCAGAATATTTAGTATCTAAAAACTACAGAAGGCTTTGGATAACTGTAACCAGCTTTAGCGGGTACCGGAGAGGAAGCTGCGGGCTTTGAGTCGGGGAATTGTTTTTCTGGCTTGGGATAGCTATAGCCTTTTTCTTTGGCTGGTACTGGCGAGGAAGCAGCTGGTTTGGGATTGTAGCTTGGTTTCTTAGTTGGTGCTGGGGAAGGTTTCTCTGGTTTAGGATAATTGTATCCTTTTTCTTTTGCCGGAACCGGTGAAGAGGCAGCTGGCTTAGGTTCTTTTAAGCTTGGCTTTTTAGTAGGAGCTGGGAAAGGTTTTTCTGGTTTAGGATAATTGTATCCTTTTTCTTTTGCCGGGACTGGTGAAGAGGCAGCTGGTTTTGGTTCCTTGTAACTTGGTTTTGTGGTTGGAGCTGGTAATTGCTTCTCTGGTTTGGGATAATTGTAGCCTTTTTCTTTGGCTGGAACTGGTGAAGAAGCAGCAGGCTTGGGATTGTAACTTGGTTTCTTAGTTGGAGCTGGGAAAGATTTTTCAGGTTTGGGATAATTATAGCCCTTTTCCTTTGCTAGAACTGGTGAAGAAGCAGCAGGCTTGGGATTGTAGCTTGGTTTTGTGGTTGGAGCTGGGAATGGCTTCTCTGGTTTCGGATAGTTATAACCCTTTTCCTTTGCTGGAACTGGTGAAGAGGCTGCTGGTTTGGGTTCCTTGTAACTTGATTTTTTGGTTGGAGCTGGTAATTGCTTCTCTGGTTTGGGATAATTATAGCCTTTCTCTTTAGCAGGAACTGGAGATGAAGCAGCTGGCTTGGGATTGTAACTTGGTTTCTTAGTTGTAGCTGGGAAAGGCTTTTCAGGTTTGGGATAATTATAGCCCTTTTCCTTTGCCGGAACTGGTGAGGAGGCTGCTGGTTTTGGTTCCTTGTAACTTGGTTTTGTGGTTGGAGCTGGGAAGGGTTTCTCTGGTTTGGGATAGTTATAGCCCTTTTCTTTTGCTGGAACTGGTGAAGAGGCTGCTGGTTTGGGTTCCTTGTAACTTGGTTTTGTGGTTGGAGCTGGTAATTGCTTCTCTGGTTTGGGATAATTATAGCCTTTTTCTTTAGCAGGAACTGGAGATGAAGCAGCTGGCTTGGGATTGTAACTTGGTTTCGTAGTTGGAGCTGGGAAGGGCTTCTCTGGTTTGGGATAGTTATAGCCCTTTTCCTTAGCTGGAACCGGTGAAGAGGCTGCAGGCTTAGGTTCTTTGTAACTTGGTTTGGTAGTTGGTGCCGGGAATGGCTTTTCCGGTTTGGGATAATTGTAACCCTTTTCCTTAACTGGAACTGGTGATGAAGCCGCTGGTTTGGGATAACTGTAACCTTGTTGGCCTGATGCCACAGTGGCTGCAGCAATCAAAGCGACTGCCACAATTAAGAATTTCTGAGTGATAAGCAAAAAAAAAATATTTCATTTTTCCTTCCTTGCAATTGTTATTTTGTTTTTCCCATTGCTTACCATCTTGGAGCAGCTACTATTTCTATCCTACTAGCTTGTTTTGTTGGGCAAAATATAGTAACAGCTTTCTATTGACCAAAGTATCTATTTATATGAAATCGCTTGAGAAGAGGGTGGTGATAACTGTTTTTTTTTTTCTTTCTTTCATTTGAATACTAAAAAGATGGCTTTACGAAACAATCACAGACCAAACCAAACCAAAAAAAAAAACGTCAAAACATAAAAATTGATAGTCCAGCTTCTATGGAGAATTATTTTAATTTAAAGCTTCCTGCTCCCTTTCACCGCACTGATTGCTGCATCTGAACATCTGAAATGAGAGACAAAATTCTTGTTTCGTTTGTTTCTTTAATTGGTACGCACATTAGTTCTCTGATATAATCTAGTTGCTTTCATTTCGGGAACTTGTGTGGGTACCACAGACCAGTTCTCTAGACGATGTTAAGTTTGTCGTTTTTGGTGTATTATCCAAATTTTGTCCGTCATCATCTAAACTACGTTTGTTTTACTTTCCTCTTTTGGGATGGGCTGAAAATTATGCCCTCCTAATTTGGTGCTTTGTTCTGAGACCGGCCATTATATTCCATTTTCTTTGAACTCAACTTGAAAACAGCCTTAGATATGAGTTAATCCATAAGAAGAATACGAATTCATTCTTTCATATATTATTCGATACTTTACCAATGTAGGGTACTTGTATCCGGTCTCATTATCAGCAATAATTTGTATGTTTATTGTTATTTTTTTTTTATTTTTTATTTTTTTTTTAATTAACAATAACCAATCAAGTATTTCCACATCGTCACTGCATTAGCTAACAGGGTGATTAAACCCAAATTTCTCTGGAAAAAAATGCATCTACATGATATTCATCCCGTATTGCCACATATTCATAATTATGCAAGCACTTCCAAATAAAATATATATGGTCCAAATGGAATATATTTTTTTTTTGGTTCTATTTCAAGAAGATCTGGTCTAATATGTAATTAGCAGTTAAGAAGAAAAGAAGATAATATACAAATCATTGTATTTAAGGCGGATTAGTAGGCTTATTTCACTCGAATTACTCACAATGTCCATACAGTGAAAAGTAGTGCTTATATTAAAGTTATTGCAAAGAACAGCATTTTTTGAAAAAAAAAATGTATTTAATCAAAATCGGAATTTTAACTAATTTCATTAACGCGTTCAAAAACATTGAATCGAACAGTAATGCTCTGTAAGGGTAGTGTTATCACTTCGAATCCTCAACAAAATTACTACCGATGAACATTTGAAAGTTCAACCAATCAACAGTTTAAAGAGCAGATTTTATATGCCATATGGTGGTTCAGAATTTGATTTTCCTGGACAAATGCTCAACATTTATTGTCACCGATTTATTATTTCTGTATGGAATTCTGTTGAAAATATAAACAAGAAAATTTGATAATAATTTTAGAAAATGTGATCGTGACCCTAACGACAAATATCTGTTTCTTTTTTCGGAAAACACAAATTCTACTTGCGATAGAAAGAGCTTGGCATTCCTCAAAAGATGTTATGGACAAAGTGTTTATTTTTATACCCTACAGCGCCATATGTAAGGTGCATAATAAATTTGATTGAGTCAAAAATTATGTAACACCTCGAAATATTAGTTCTGCACATAGAATGTTATCAAATCTCGTCGAGTGGATCTGGCTATGTGGGAAGTTTACTCTGGAACATGGATATCTATAGCTATAACAAGTTAAAAAGCAGTAATTTGGTATCAAAAAAAATTTCTCTTAGATATATTTTCGGGCCATTTTATATATTTGCGATATTTACGCGATATGTATGTCTGATTCCAATGAAATTCGGCCGAGAGACAAAATTTAGTATCAAAAAAAAAATTGGTAAATTATATTAAAATCGGTTGAAAAAAATCAGACTCCATAATTTTTACATTTTTGTTTAATTTTATTGAATGTAAACAAAAAATGTCGGAAATAGCAGCACAATTTAGAATAAGTGTAGATTTGTTCCAATTGGTCACCGAATTGGCACGAATTATGATCTTCAAAGTGCCAATGAAACCGTAACGCGCTGCCCGAATGTTGCTCAGTGGTATTTTGGCCCATTCCCGGCGAAGCGCTTGCATGAGGTGATCGACGCTTTGGTATGTTTTAGTGGCAACCTTGCTTTCCAAAATACTCAAGACAGAATAGTCCAACGGATTGGTATCCGAAGATTTTGGTGGCCATTATGCGCTGGAAATGAAGCGAGGAACCTCGGTTTTATCCATTTTTGGGTGTTTAGTGCGATGGTGCTGAGTCCTGTTGGAAATTCCAAGGTCTACGGCCAAAATGTTTGCGTGCGTGTCCAAGACTTTAATACACCCTCCAGAATATTTTCGCAGTAATATTCGGCATTTATTCTAACGCCACGGTCGATTAATGCGAGCGGAGAGCGACCATCGGCTGTTATGGCGGCCCACACCACACACCATCACCATGTCCGTCGCTTGAGTTCTGGTGACCAACCGAAGGGGCACATTTTCACCTGACCTGTACAACGAATGTTTTCTCATCAGAGAAAATCAAATTCGGCAGTTCACCACATTCGGCTAAGCGAAGCAATTTTCTTTCTGACGCGGTGTAAGTTCTTGCACTTTTTGGAATTTCAATGGCTTTACCCCGAACTCATTTTTCAATATTTGACGAATGGAATATTGCGATATGTTCAGATCAAGAGCCATTTTCGGCCACTGCGACGCGGATTTCGATAAATTCGCTTCTTTACTTTTCGAACCATTTCTGCTGTTGTTGCTGTTTTCTTCTGTCCACTTCCTTGACGTCGGGCTACGCTACCAGTATCACGGTAATAAGTGATGTTATGAGACACAAAAGATTTATTCACATTTAAATGCTGGAGTGCTCTAATGATAGCCACTTGTGGTTTTCCAGCCAAATATCACGAAATCCTTCGTGAATAACTTTTTTTCTGGAAAATTCTCACCAAAATGCTTTTGTACGTTTGAAAACAATATAATGAGCTGTCAGTGGAACAATTTTAACACCTGCCGGACGAGTGGCTTAGAAATGACAGCAGTCTAAAGTTCGTTGCTGTTTTTTCATCTCATCCTGTATACCCTTTCTAGCCATATGGCTAAGGGTTTGACAACAGCTAAATTCGTTCGTTAAAACATGCCTTTAAAACTATCGAACTACAGAATATCGGGTGGTACAGTTATATGGGGGCTACATGAAAGCGTGGACCAGTATGGCCAATTATCTGCCAGAGAAGGCCTATTGTGAACTTCAAATGCCAATATGGAAATCGGATAAATACCGAATATCGATATATGGGATGGGATATATCGGTACGGCCACCACAAAGAGCTCAACATTTTCAAAAATTTTAACTCTCATAAAATGCGAAGTAGAATTCTACCCACTCCCAATAGTTTTAGTAGCATAAGATGTGGTGTGTAGATGAGATACTTCGGTACACTTTATCTGGTACTTCACGCACATTTCTACATTTCCCAAAAGTTATCACATATCTTATATAAAGAATAATATTATAATAAAATTTAGCAAAAATATTTACTTTTTTATGGGAATATTTTTAGATATTTTTATACCCTCCTCCATAATATAAATGGTATATTAATTTTTTCATTCCGTTTGTAACACCTCGAAACATACATTTTAGACCCCACAAAGTATATACATTCTTGATCAGCATAAAATTCTATATCGATTAAGCGATGTTCGTCCGTCTATTCGTCTCTTACATTACAGCCTAAGACAGAAAATTGTCTGTGCAGGTTCACGCCTTCGTACAGCCCCCATATAGCGGCGCCTCCCGATATTCGGTACTTTGATGATTTTAGCGACATTATTAACCGGAATTGTTTCAAATTTGGTATTTGATTTTCGTAATGGATACTACAGCCTATAACATACAATTCTTTGTGCAGGTCCACGTTTTGAAATGACCCCTATGTATTAGTACCTCCCGATATTCGGTATTTTGATGATTTTAGTTACATTATTCACCGATTTTTTTCAAGTTTCGCATTTAAATATTGTAATGGCTTGTGACAAAAGTTGCTTATGCACGTCGACGTCGTCGTATGGACCCTAATACAATAGCTAAATTCGGTATTTTTAAGATTTTAATAGAAGTGTTAACGATTTTTATACCCTCCACCATACTATGGAGGGTATATTAATTTTGTCATTCCGTTTGTAACTCCTCGAAATATTCATGTCAGACCCAACAAAGTATATATATTCTTGATCAGCGTAAAATTCTAAGACGATTTAGCCATGTCCGTCTGTCTGTCTGTCTGTGTGTCTGTCTGTCTGTCTGTCTGTCTGTCTGTCCGTCTGTCTGTCTGTCTGTTGTAATCACGCTATCTTTCGAACAAATTGAGATAGAAGGCTAAAATTTTGCACACATGTATATTTTCCCAGTAGGCAGGTTAAGTTCGTAAATGGGCCATGTAGGTCCAAGTTATCATATAGCCCCCATATAACGGTACCTCCCGATATTCGGTATTTTGATGATTTTAGCGACATTATTCGACGGAATTATTTCAATTTTGGTATTTGAAGTTCGTAATGGATACTACAGCTTAAGACAGAAAATTATCTGTGCAGGTCCACGTCTTCATATAGCCCCCACATAACGGTACCCCCCGATATTCGGTATTTTGATGATTTTAGCGACATTGTTTATCGGAATCGTTTCAAATTTGGTATTTGAAGTTCGTAATGGATACTTCATCTAAAGTCAAAAAATGAGCCATGTAGGTCCACGTCTTCATATAGCCCCCATATAACGCTACCCCCCGATATTCGGTATTTTAATGATTTTAGCGACATTATTTACAGGGATTGTTTCAAATTTCGCATGTGAAGTTCGTAATGGATACTTCAGCCCATGCCAGAAAATTGTCTGTGCAGGTCCACGTCTTCGTATAGCCCCCATATAACGGTACCCCCCATATTCGGTATTTTGACGATTTTAGCTACATTATAAACAGATTTTTCTTCAAGTTTCGCATTTAAATATTGTAATAATTTATGACAAAAGTTGCCTATGCAGGCCCACGTCGTCGTATAAGCATTCGGTATTTTTAAGATTTTAACTGAATTTTTAAAGGTTTTTTTTTTTGGAAATTGCCAAATTTGTACCAACTGGTGGAGGGTATTAAAAGTTCGGCCCGGCCGAACTTACAGTTTTTTTACTTGTTTTTTTTTTTTTTTTTTTTTTTTTTTTGAAAATTGCCAAATTCGTTCCAAGTGGTGGAGGGTAATACTGCTCAATTGTTAGAAATCAAAAGATCCTCGCCAAATTTTGAAACCATCCAGGCCATAATTGAATAATTGTATCCTCTTGAATTATGGAGGGTATATTAACTATACATTTCCCTTTGTCAGATCAGACCCCGGAATTCTGTACCTTTGACCTCATTTGGTATTTCTATTATAGGGTTGGCAAGCTTCCTGGGAAAACTATTTGTCCTATATTCGGTATAGTCGCCGACGGTACAATCCGACTTACGATATTTTGAAAATTTTAATTGCATCATCCTATCGATTTCACAGAAATTTACAATTTAAAATTAGACTCACTCGAATATTCATTCCGGGAGCTTGAGATATTCCCCCACAGTGTGATAAATGAATTACATTTCTTCTTCATATCTATTGAGCAAATTTTAGGTACTGGAAAGTGTATTGAATTTTCGCCAATTTCAGAAGGTTTTGTTTCTTGCTCCAAAACGATATGATGGAAATTTTTTTCATAAAGCGACATAAAATTAGATAAAACAATAAAATCAACACTGGCTGATCCAAAGATCCAATACTGACATCAAAATATAAAGGTTGTCCTTGTAAAGACGGCATTTTTGATTATTATAAATATTTTGCTATGATACATATAAGTTTATTTAATATTAAGAAGTGCTAACGCACGTGAAATATCTCATATAGTTGAAAAATCCCCATCTGTTTAGTAAAATACCAATTCTGTCTCAAATCATAACCATACTATGAATATTAATATTATATTTTGTCAAAATAGAAAACAAAGAAAGTGATGATTTATCGACAAAAAAAAAAAACACACATTCAACACCCACAAAGAGAACAGAATATTCCTATCTATAAAATGATTGAAATCGAAAGTTTTGAATTTTAAATCAAATTAAGATTTGGTAATGCCTAGTCATTACTGGTTGTTGTGAGTAAAATGATACGAAATGTTTGATTACCATCCAGTTTTAAATCACAACAGAAATATAATGATCTGCAGTTTAAAAATTTATATTGAATTCAAATATTGCATATCATGCATATTATGATTGATAAAAAAAAATAACACATGTGATTTTAATTTAGTTTTTTTTTTTGATATTTATGCTTACCGGTTTGAAACTATTTCACAAAAATTCATGCATATTTTATGTCTACTGCAGCTGCTGTTTTTTTGAATTCCATAACACTTCCGTATTTTCTAAAAATTATAAAAACATGCATTCGAGGGGAGGCAAATTTCAGTTGATTCAGAACGAGTTGAGAATTGAAAACGGGGCACATGTGTCATGGTTTGTAGTTCAGTAATTTGTTAAATGTTTTTATTTAAATTTTTCCTGTTTCAAATTACAGAGGTTTCTATGGGTTTGCCTAAACCTAATGATGGCTGTTAATGCAAATGAAATACCCCGCATTACTAATGATTACTTGCCACCCTATGCCGATGGTCCACCACCCCACAATGATTTCAACTATGATGTACAGCTGCTACCTCCTCCCGTCACCTACCACGTTCATCATCATTGGTATTATCCAGTTCCAAGTGTGCCGTTCGAGGAATATGCTCCAGTTTCTATTGTGGCACAAGAAGCCCAACCGACAGCTGGTACTAGTTCCTTAAAACCAACTATGATTCTCGTGGTCACTCTGATTTTGTGTCTGACATAGGAATTGCAAAAAATCCTTGATTTTTATTTAACATGCGTTATTTCCAAGGTATCTCTTCTAAGGAGGAAATTGCCTTACAAAGCTGCTGAAATTGCAGTTGTTCGCTTATTGGTGTTCTACAAAACCCTTTTTCCTGAGTATTAATCTGAAAAGTATTATGCCAATATCGGGAATACGAAAATATTTTCAACCATTTGAGGTAACAACTTGACTTTGCATAATGTATTCTTAATATTGGCCATCCAAGGTCATAAAAATAGACTGTGTCATAATACATTCAGCAATTCAAATATTCTTGTTGTGCCTGTATATTTAGTTCGATGCGCATTATTTGGATGTCTAGCATCGAAAACAAATTGATATTTAAAAAGAATTTTAAACTAGTTTAACTTCTAAAGTCCAAAATAAAATGTTGCATTTATTTTTTTTTTTTTCATTTGATATCAAAATAAACATTCAGTGAAATAGTCAGCCATATTCCCGAAAATTCGGATAATGTTTTTTTTTTTTGTATTTTATGTAATGCATGAGGTAATACCTTCACACTCTGTAGAGTGTTATTTAATCTTTTTTCTGATATGACATGCCTTCAGTATTTTATAGACTATTTGCAACCATAACTCAGGTCCTTTTCTTTATTTCAACAATACAATGAGATTTTTGGATAATCAAGTATTTTTAAAACAATTGTGGCCAAATTATTTTAGGTAAGGTACTAAAAAGGCATGGAATCAATATTTTTATGTTTTGGTATTTAACATATTGCCAATATTACTGACAGCAATACGAGTATTATTTTGGATTAAAATCATGCTCTCAAGCGAGTCTCCGAATGGGTCTTAATAGACCTCTTATTAAATATGGGTTAAAGCTTAATTTAATTATATGTCATTAAATTCTACTATAGGTTTCAGAATATATAACTTACCTAAACGAAAGGATCAATATTAAAAACGCATTTTATGGTTGAAGCCTTACTTCGAAATATTTGTGAGATATATTTTGCAAAACTTATTATAGACCGCTGATCTGAAATTTATAGAGAGAGCTTTGGACTATTTCAAGAATCATTGATTTAAAACATGGTTCATTTTGCTCCACTATTAGATATTATCTATATATATAAAAGAGTAGTAAATAACTGACCCAGACGAAATGGCTAAAAGTACGAGGGTCGTCTTGGTAGGCGTGTGATAAGGAAATTCGTACTAAAATGGTACGAACAATACTGAATCGTACTAAAATTGAATACTTTGTATTGGACAAACGGAGCTAGAATTCTAAAATTTGGAACTGGAGTCATAGATGGAGTGCAGGATGCATATAGTATGGATAGTATGGATGGTATATTAAGTCCGTCATTCCGTTTGTAACTCATCGAAATAATAATTTTAGACCCAACAAAGCGTAAAATTCTAAGACGATTTAGCTCTGTCCGTCCGTCCGTCTGCCCGTCTGTTGAAATCACGCTACAGTCAAAACAAATTAAAATAAGAAGATAAAATTTTGCAGATCTCTCTCTATTGTCTGCAGGCAGGTCAAGTTCCGATATTAGGTATTTTAAAGATTTTAACGGAATTTTCAATGGATTTTATTTTTTTGAAAATTTTCTAATTCGTTCTAAATGGTGTAGGGTATTCAAAGTTCGGCAGGGCCTTTTTACTAGTTTTTTTTTTTTTTTTTTTTTTTAATTTTATTGAATGAAAATGTCGGAATAACCATCAGATTTGTTTGAATTGGTCACCTTTGGCAGGAATTAAGGCCTTCAAACGGTCAATGAAACCGTCACACGCTGCCCGAATGTTGTTCTGCGGTATTTTGGCCCATTTGGTGTTTTTTAGTGCCAACTTTACATTCCAAAATACTCAAGACACAATAGTCTAACGGATTGGTATCCGAGATTTTGTTGGCTGTTGTGCGCTGGAAATGAAGAGACGAACCTCATTTTGTTACCATTCTTGGGTGCGCATGCTGAGTGATATGGTTCACAAACCGCTGGACGGCCAAATTCGGCAGTTCACCTTTATTGTCCAAGCGAAGCAACTCTTTAACTCTTTCGAGTCCATTTTCTTTCTGTTGCGGTGTAAGTTCTTGCACTTTATAAAATTTCAATGGCTTTACCCAGAGCTCATTTTTCAACATTTGCCGAATAGAATATTTTTTTGTACTTTTTTTACTTTCCAAACCATTTCTACTTATGTTGCTATTTTCTTCCGTCCATCTCCTTGAGGTCGGTTACGCTATCAGTATCACGGTAACGAGCGATGGTACGAGACACAAAAGATTTATTCACATTTAAATGCTGGAGTGCTCTAACGATATCCACTTGTGGTTTTCCAGGCAAATATAAAGAAATCGCACTCTCGCGCTTGAATTCCATCACGAATAATTTCTGGAAAATTTCATCTCAATCGGAAAATACATGCGACCTGCATTTTGTTCACAAGAATACATGGACGGACGGAGTGACAGACGGGCTGACATGCATAAATCGACTCAAAGTGATCCTATGAAGATCTCCACGATCTTCTCCATGTTACAAACAAATGCAGAAAGACATAATACCATTAGCACTATATGGTGTAGGTTTTCAGTTTGCCCATCAGGACCGTTCATCTCCAAAAAAATCACCGGGTTATTCGGTTAGATCACACTACCTGCCTGAGGTGCGTGAATGCGGAGTTAGAACACTGTATAAATGTTAATGTTAAATAAGAGTAGAGATGAGAGAACGAGATAAATATTTTTGGAAATAAGAGAAATGATCCCCTTTTGTTGTGTTAGCAATAAATACTTGATAGCTGTAGTTGAACTATATTTAATGCCAATGCCAGAATCCAGAAATGTTTATTTGCATTGATAACAGTTGTTCTTAATGTTTATGGTATGAAAAGTTGTTTCAACTATTAGAAAGTCATGTTAGTCATTTAAATATTAAAACTAGCAGAATATAGACGCGTTTATCAGGCAATGGTCAGTATTGAGGTTTGTCGGTCCTCTTATTAGGAAGTTTCTTGATTTATTTGCTTTCTATTGCAGAAATTTAATTTTGTTTTCTTCATTTCGCTGGCATTTGTTGCAACTGGCGATCGAATACCCAATGAATATCCAGTGGTATCTAATAATTATGGAGCTGTTGGTAGAAGTTCTACGCCAGCAAGCCAGTATGTCATTTTGCCAGTAGCGAATGCAGCATACACAAATTCTGGCGGTGTCACCTATGCTGTTGTTGGTGGCTATAATTATGGTGCATCCATTCCCAATTATGGATTTGCAGCATCCAATCCTATTCCAATTTATGTAGCTCCTGGTTTACAATATGCTCCTGCAGGCACATCGACAAATCCCCAATATGCTTCAGCTGCTAGTCCTCAATATGTTCCGAATGGCCCTGGTTCACAATATTCTTTACCAAATTCCATCTATAACCCAGGAGGCTTTGTCGCACCTCTCATTCCAACTCCAAATTATGCCTTATCGCCAACATCATCTGCTACAAATAATTATCATCCTTTGCCTTCTCAACCTATTTACAGTGGACCAGGTTTGAATGGAAATATTTACAGAGTTCCTAGTATTATTAATGCCGCATCGCAACCGTTGCCTGTCTACAATACTGGAAGTAATCAATATCCAAGTCATTCAGGTTTTATTGGTACCAGCAATAATAATCAACTTCAAGTACCAGCTGGGACCAGTTTAACATATTTTACGAATAAAAACCCTGCTGCCAGCACTACCACCACTGCAAGTGCCACATCAACGATAGACAATGGGAGTTCTGCTACCAATATTGATGCTGCTTTTCATGAAGATGGACTCACTCCACCCTCTGTAACCTACTCATCTCCTGAAGAATCTAATAAGAATTCGAACACAGTTCCTGATTCTATTGCTGATGCTAGCAACACGGATCCTCTGGTCACTTCAAGTTCTGAGAATTTCGCAAAATCAGTTGAACCTGAACCTGCCCACACCTATTCCGATGAAGAGGGCTATCGTTACAAAAATCCACATCATAAATGATTTGAATATTAGTTTTTAAACTAATCAAGCTTTCGTTGAAGAAAAATAAAAGAGAAAAAAATAACTTAAAAATTACTAATTTAAATAATTGCGATAATTTAGAACCCCAAATCTCCCTTATTTTTTCAGATAAGTAATTTTTCAACCATAGTTTTATTCCAACCTACATCAGAACTTGGAGGGGATATTATAGTATGTTTGGCCATCCTCGATATATTGGTCCTAGATACACTTACTAATACACCCATCACCATATAGCCACGAGCTGAGTAGTTGGACTGACTAGACGGATACACACACTGGTATGTCCGGTTTGTCCATCATAATCCAGGTCGCATTCTAGGCGGGCCAAAAATATTTTTACATATTCGATCAATTTGATTTTCTTACAAATGCTTAAAGCATAAAATATTTGACAAAAATAAATTACAAGATAAATCCTTTTTATCATGTAGCACACACATACAGGGTGAGATGAAAAAACTGCAACCAATTTCAGACTGCTGTAATTTCTAAGCCACTCGTCCGACAGCTGTTAAAATTATACCAGTAACATCTCATTATATTGCTTACAAGCTCTCAAAAGCATTTTGGTGAGAATTTTCCAGAAAAAAGTCATTCGTGATGGAATTCAAGGGTGATAGTGTGATTTCTTTGTATTTGGCTGGATAACCACTATAACTGGCTATCGTTACTGATAGCGTAGCCCGACGTCAAGGAGGTGGACGAAAGAAAACGACAACATCGGCAGAAATGGTTCGAAAAGTAAAGAAGCGACTTGATCGAAACCCCCGTCGCTGAAAAATTGCTCTTGAGCAATATTTCATTCGGCAAATATTGAAAATTGAGCTCGGGGTAAAGCCTTTAATATTCCAGAGAGTCCAAGAACTTACACCGCAACAAAAAGAAAATAGACCCAAAAGAGCTAAAGAGTTGCTTCGCTTGGCCGAAAGTGGTGAACTGCCGAATTTGGTATCCTTCGATGAGAAAACATTCGTTGTCCAGCAGTTTGTAAACAAATAAAATGACCGTGTTTACTTGCTAAAGAGGTCAGCTGAAAATGCACACCTTCGGTTGGCCACCAGAACTCAAGCGCCGGCCATGTTGATGGTGTGGGCCGCCATAACAGCCGATGGTCGCTCTCCACTCGTATTAATCAACCGCGGCATCAGAATAAATGCCGAATATTATCGCGAACATATTCTGGAAGGTGTATTAAAGCCTTGGGCACGCAAACATTTTGGCCGCAGACCTTGGACATTCCAACAGGAGTCCGCACCATCGCATTCAGCACGCGCAATCCAAGAATGGTTACAAAATGATGTTCCTCGCTTCATTTCCAGCGAACAATCTCCGGATACAAATCCGTTGGAGTATTTCGGAAAGCAAGGTTGGCACTGAAATATACCAAAGTGTCGATCACCTCAAGTAAGGGCCTCGTCGGGAATGGGCAAAAATACCGCAGAGCAACATTCGGGCAGCGTGTGACGTTTGGTGTGACCAACTCCAACAAATCTAAACTTGTTCTAAAATTTTATGATTTTTCCGACATTTTTTGCTTTTATTCAATAAAATTTAAAAAAAAAAATGTAAAAAAATGGCGTTTGATTTTTTTGCAGTTTTTTTATATCAGGTATACATTTTAGACCCCACAATGTATATATATTTTCGATGTCGATTTAGCGATGTTCGTCCGCCTGTCAGTCTATGGAAATCTTTCTAACTCTAGAACTAAATGAAGTAGATTGATAACATTTTTCTCAGATGTGTGTTAGGTCTGCAGGACTTTTAGTATTTAAAATGGGACCGTTTTGGTATAGCCCCCATATAACGGAACCAACGAATTAAGCTTTTTTTTAATGTTTTAGTCACAATTTTAACGCGAATTCGCAATTAATTGGCTGCATGTCTTCCAATTATGTAAGGAACACTTCTAACAGAAAATGTTTCACATTTGAAATTTAAAGTTCCTGATAGGTAATACAACCTATGACAAAAAATTTCTCACACAGGTCTACGTTAGCGTATAGCCCCCATATAACTGTACCACCCTATATTTGGTATTTTGAAGAATTAAACGACATAATTCTCCGGAATTGCTTCAAATTTGAAATTTGAAATGGGTACTACAGCTTGTGGGTACTACAGAAAATTGTCCATGCAAGTCCGGGTTTCTTAAAGATTTTAGCTACATTATTCTCCGGAATTGTTTAAAATTTCGTATTTGGGTACTACAGCCTGTGACAGAATATTGTCTGTACAGGCCAGGTCTTTGTACGGACCCTGAAGTAACAGTAACTCTCTATATTCGATAATTTTTATGTTTTTAAGAGAATTCTTAACGCCTTCATTTTTATACCCTCCACCTTGGAAAGGAGGGTATATTAACTTTGTCATTCCGTTTGTAACATCCTAAAATATTCGTCGTTGACCCCATAAAGTATATATATTCATAATCAGCATAAAATTCTAAGTCGGTTTAACGATGTCCGTCTGTCTGTCTGTCTGTCTGTTGAAATCACGATACAGCCCTCATTATTTGACGTAGAGCTCCAAAATTTAGCAGAGCAATTTGTATTGTGTCTAGGATGTTTGGTATTGAAAATGAGATATATCGGTCCACCTTCTGGTATAGTCCCCATATAAAGTTACCTCCCGATATTCGGTATTTTGATGATTTATGCCACATTTTTTCACGGATTTGTCTGAAAATTGGTATTTGTAGGCCATAACGGGTTCCTGTGCGTGTGGCAAAACATTGCATGTATAGGTCCACGTTTTGGTATAGCCCCCATATAATGGTACCTCCCTATATTTGGTAATTTGATTATTTTTGCCACATTTTTTCTCGAATTTGTCTAAAAATTGGTATTTGTTGGTCATAATGGGTTCCAGCTCCGGTGGCGAAACATTGCATGTATGGGTCCATGATTTGGTACAGCCCCCATGTAACGGTACCTCCCGATATTCGGTAGTTTGATAATTTTTGCGACATTTTTTTATGCATTTGTCTAAAAATAGGTATTTGTGGGTCATAATGGCTCCTAGTTAGTGTGGCGAAACATTGTGTGTATAGGTCCACGTTTTGGTATAGTCCCCATATAACGGTACCACCCAATATTCGGCATTTTGATGATTTTTGACATATTTTTTTCACGAATTTCTCTGAAAATTGGTAGTTGTGGATCATAATGGGTCTTAGTTCGTGTGGCGAGTCATTGTAATTATAGGTCCACGTTTTGGTATAGTCCGCATATAACGGTACCTCCCGATATTCGGTATTTTGATGATTTATGCAACAATTTTTCGCGGATTTGTCTGAAAATTGTTTTTGTAGGCCATAACGGGTCCTATTTCGTGTGGCGAGACATTCCATGTATAGGTCCACGCTTTGGTATAGCCCCCATATAAAGGTACCTCCCGATATTTGGTATTTTAATGGATTTTGCCACATTTCTTCGCGGATTTGTCTAGAAATTGGTATTTGTTGGTCTTAATGGGTTCTAGCTCTTTTAGCGAAACACTGTATGGGTCCACGTTTTTGTAAAGCCCAATATAGCCGAATTTCCAGATATTCGGTATTTTGATGACTTTTGGAAAATTTTCCCATGAATATGTCTAAAAATTTGTATTTAGGCTCTAATTTGGCCCGGTCGAACTTAATGTTTTTTTATTTATTTATTTATTTATTTTTTTTTTTTTTTTTCAATTTCCAAATTCGTTCCAAATATTGGAAGGTATTTAAAGTTCGATGCGGCCGAACTTACCGCTTTTTTTTGTTATTTGTTTCTCTGTCGAAACGAGCTTTATCATCTGAAAAACAAAGGCGCTATATGGAGGTGGCGGTATATGGAGTATATACAACAATTTAGATGTAAATGGACAGTTATTTACAATATTTTTTTTCTTTTTTGCTACTGGAAACACAAATAGCCGATTCACAACAAACTTGTTAAAAAATTTGACCAAAGTCCAAATCGTAGACCGATATATCGCATTTTCGCCTAAGAATTTTACATTGATCAAAAATGTACTCTATAGTACACATAATTCGTACGAAACCAGATTCCTATAAAATATAGTTTTTCAATTTTTGATAGTTTTTGAAAATAGTTGATGACAAATGGCGGCTATCGGTATATAAGTCGTTCCACTTGAGTGAGACAAATTTTGTCGCAAAGCATAATTTTAAGTGTTTGGGCGTATGCTCAACGGACGGGCGTTTAATCTCTAGTATGGTTTGTATAATTTATTAAATAATTTAAAGAAAGGGACATTTTATTTTTTAAATCAGTTATTATTTCTATTTTGGTTGTTACAGAGAATTGTAACCACTTTCCTGGCATTGTGTGCAGTTGTGGGAAATACGCCAAATGATGTCACATCGACGCCAATAGGAAATAGTTCGCTGGACAATTTTCTAAAATATCTGGATGTTGGTTTAACATATGCACCATATGATGTACCAAAATACCCATCGACTACGCAACCTCCCACAACCCCAAACTATGACCAACCGTTTGTTTTAAAGTACGCACCAGCTGTTAATCCCTCCAATCAACAACCATTGACACCAGCTGTTACAAACATACCTCCAGCTGGCCACATAGTAACCATAAGATATGGCATTCCAAGCAGTCATCTCATCTACCATCATCCTTTGATTTCTCCAACTGGAAATACTGGTCTGAATGGTCTTCCACAGGTCACAACACAATATGCACCATCAATGCCCTACTCGAATATTGTACCCATTAATGCAGTTGGTATTCCAATTGGTACTCCCATTGTTACAAATTTTGCACCAGCCCATCGCCCTGCTGCAGTTATAGCACACCCATATCATCCAACAAATTTTGTTGCACCTCTACCACCACCTATTCAATTCATACCGCATCCTGTGCCACAAAATATACAAGTTCCTCAAAATGCAGTTTATTATTTTGCAGCTATTGCCCCTCAACAAGTGCCGCCATCACAATACTATACTAACGGAAATCCCGGGCAACAAATATCCTATAACCCTTTACCACAAGTTCCTATATTTCATCATCCTGCAAGATTTGGATACCCAGGAGTACCAATTCAATATGTACAGCCACCGGCAACCACATTATTTCCACCATCTCCCATTTATCAACAGCAATCCCCTCCACAACAGGTAATTACTTATCTTGGAGTACCAAGTGCAGAACATAATAATGTTCAGCCTGCATTTGTAGGCACCGCACCAAGACCCTTAACACATTTTACGAATCCGCAATTTCCTACACAAAAATAAATTATCAATTAATATTTCGATCTAGCGAATTTGTTGTTTAAGGGATATCGGTAGATCTAGAAGTGTTATACACTTATATAATTGCTAAAAATGTGGAAAAATGTAAATTGTGATGCGTAATAAAATTCGAGGTGATATATAATATTAAATTGTCTTCTATGAAGAATAACATAACATTATTATACGAAAAAAATAAATCAAATATAACACTATGCGTCAATATTCTTTTTTTCAATAATTACGGCGAAAATTCAGCAAATAATGAAAGTAGAGCTAAACAAGTTAAAAAGCAGTAAGTTCGGCCGGGCTAAAAATTTGGAATGAATTTGAAAATTTTCAAAATTTCTTAAAAAAATTCTGTTAAAATTTTAAAAATACCGAATATAGCCGTTATATTGGGGTCTATACGACCTGCACCTACATAGGCATTGTTTGTCATAAGCCATTACCATATTCAAATTTGAAACTTGAAATAAATGGTGAATAATGTAGCTAAAGTCATCAAAATATGGTATATAGAGAGGTACCGTTATATCGGAGCTGTGCGAAGACCTGGACCATAGACGATTTTCTTTCACAGGTTATAGCATCCATTATCATTATCAAATACGACATCTCAAACAATTTCGGTGGGTATTGTACCTAAAGTCGTCAAAATACCGAATATTGGGAGGTACTGATATATGGAGCCTATACGAAGACCTGGACCTGCATAGACAATTTTCTGTCACAGGCTGTAGCTTCCATTACCAACTTCAAATACGTAATTTGAAACAATTCCGGTGAACAATGACGCTAAAATCATCAAAATACCGAATTTTGGGATGTACCGTTATATGGGGGCTATACGAAGACGTGGGCCTGCACAGACAATTTTCTGTCATAGGCTGTAGTATCTATTACGAATCTCAAATACCAAATTTGAAATAATTCCGGTGAATAATGTCGCTAAAATCGTCAAAATACCGAATATCGGGAGGTACCGTTATATGGGAGCTATGCGAAGACGTAGACCTGCACAGACAATTTTCTGTCTTAGGCTGAAGTATCCATTTCGAACTTCAAATACCAAATTTGAAACAATTCCGGTTAATAATGTCGCTAAAATCATCAAAATACCGAATATGGGGAGGTACCTTTATATGGGGGCTATATGAAAACGTGGACCTACATGGCCCATTTAACCTGCCTACTGGAAAAATTTAACCTGCCTACTGGAAAAATTAACAACAGATAGACAGACGGACCGACAGAAAGACAGACAGACGGACACGTCTAAATCGACTTAGAATTTTACGCTGATCAAGAATATATATACTTTGTTGGGTCTGACATGAGTATTTCGAGGAGTTACAAACGGAATGACCAAGTTAATATACCCTCCATAGTATGGTGGAGGGTATAAAAATATCAGTCGGTTTTGGCGACAGATCTATACCTTCAGCTAATGATCGATTATTTAAATATATTTTGACTTCCGTTATGATTATTCAAATTGTTGACCCTATAGGGAGTGGGTTCTGAAAGAATGGCCCAATATTGTCCATTACGTATCGAACCTCGCTTTCTCTGAGCGTTTTGTTTTTCAAAATCGTGAACCCTATGTGGGGGAGGTATCAGAAGAAATGGTCCGATTTCTACCATCTTTATAAGAGATCTTGTGTTGATGGAAATATTGCGATGTACCAAGTCTGAATGGAATCCGATGATAAATTCTCATTTTATGAACTTCATGGATATTCAAAAATTTGAGCCTTTGTGGGGGAAGTACCAGAAGGAGTGGACCGATACATCTCATCTTCAAAGATCTTGTGTTAGTAGAAATAACGAGATGTGTGAAATATGAAGAGAACCGGATGCTTATTTCGGATTTTATAATCGTTTTGGTTATGCAAAACTTTGACCCTTTATGGGGGAGGTAACAGAAGGAATGGTCCGATTTCTACCATGTTCATAACAGATCTTGTGTTGATTGTAATATTCAGATGTTTCAAATCGGAAGTTTATCTCACGTTTTACGAGCTTAATGGATGTACAAAATTTCGACCTTTTGTGGGGGAGGTACCAGAAGGAGTGGACCGATATATATTCCATCTTAACACCAGACCTTGGGTTAATAGAAATATTAGGATGTGTGAAATTTGATGACATTCGGACTTTTACATAACATTTTATAAGTTATTATTATTTATTATTTTAACCCTTTGTGGGGGAGGTACTTGATGGAGTGGACCGATATTGTCCATTTTCGCACCTGATGTAGCATTGATGGAAATATTAGAATTTACATAGCTGGAGCAAAATCCGGTTATACTTTCTGTGAAGTAAACTATTTTCTTTGAAAATTTCAACCTTTTGTGCGAGAGTTCCAGAAGGAGTGGACCGATGTTGCCCATTTCCGAAGACGATCTATGTTTGACAATAATATTACGGTGTATTAAGTTTGGATCGAATTGGATACTCCCGTTGAGAGTAATCGTGCGCACCAGCCAGCCAGACAGATGGACGGGCATCGCTAGATCGACTCCAAATGTCCTGAAACGAATTTGGTCTAAAGAGGCCTAGGGTCTAAAACCGTTATTTCGACTAGGCATGTTTTGACCGTATCAAATGATATATACCCTCTCTAGCCATATGGCTGAGGATATAAAAAGCAGCGAGTTCGTGGACCGAACACCTGAATCAGCGACAATATCCGTCACAGGCTGTAGCACCCGTTAAGTAGTGCAAATACGAAATTTGAAACAATTACAATGAATAATGTCGATAATATCATTAAACCACCTACTTCATTTTGTTCGGAAGCTAGAGTAATTTTCACAGGCGGACGGCTATCGTGCATGTGTGAAATTTGAAGACAATCGGACTCTTACATCACATTTTATAAGAGAATTTTATGCTGATCCAGAATATATATACTTTGCGAAATCTAAAATGTATACTTAGAGGTATTACCCTCCAGAACTTTGAAACTTGATAGAGATGGTGGAGAACTTTGAAATTTGATAGAGATCCTTGAATTACGTCGAGAATCATTGTTACAGAGAATGGGTCATATCGATCCACTTTTTGGAATAGCCTTCTTGTGAGGATAATTTCGATTTCCAGATTTTTTGAAGTTTGGCCCTTAACCTGTATATTATTATGAGGGTTGTGGCCATATTTCCAAGTCGATTTGGCTGTAATTAATATTTTGGTTCTTTCTCACAGGTTATATTTTATATATAAAGGGCGCTTTTATTAAAAAGGTTCATAAAATTAAACACGAATCTGGGAATTTCAAATTATTCTATGCCCACATAAACAAAGCTAAAGCCAAATCGATTGGAAAATATGAATTTTGTAAAGGAATTTTCCTGCAACGAGTTATTATTTTAAAACTTACTCCGTTACTATGGATGTGTAACTTATTTTGGGGTATAAACCAAAAGTTTTATTTTTCAGACTTTGAAATTGCAATGCCAGTTTAACCAAATTGGCCGTAACTTGGCATTTGGAATAATTGATTATTGAGACAAAATTTTTATAGATATATTTTATTTCATTTTATTCTCTTTTTAAAGAGAATTCATAACAAAGCTCTAAGAAACTATTCATAACTTCGCAATATTTTCTAAGCTTAATTACGATGACGACGGAGAACACGGCTACGATTGGTCTTATAACGGTATCCCTCGGCATCGGAGAAACTGTGTGCTGGAGCAGCAACTTCAACGGTATCAAAAGAGGCAGCTGGAGCCAGGTAGGAAGTAACTGGAGCAGCAGCAGCAACTTCATAGGTGGTGCTGGCAGCTACAGGTGGCAAGTATTCAGTAGACACGTCACGACGATGGCGACGAGCAGTTTTAACAACACGTCGTTTTTGGGTCTTGTAACGGTAACCCTCAGCATCGGAGAAACTGTGGGCTGGAGCAGCAACTTCAACGGTATCAAAAGAGGCAGCTGGGGCCAAGTAGGATGTTACTGGAGCTGCGGCTGCAACTTCATAGGTGGTACTGGCAGCTACAGGTGGCAAATATTCGGTGGACACATCACGACGATGACGACGAGCAGTTTTAACAACACGTCGTTTTTGGGTCTTGTAACGGTAACCCTCAGCATCGGAGAAACTGTGTGCTGGAGCAGCAACTTCAACGGTATCGAAGGAGGCAGCTGGGGCCAGGTAGGAAGTAACTGGAGCGGCAGCAGCAGCAACTTCGTAGGTGGTGCTGGCAGCAACAGGTGGCAAATATTCGGTGGAAACATCACGACGATGACGACGAGCAGTTTTGACAACACGACGTTTTTGCGTCTTGTAACGATAGCCTTCGGCATTGGAGAAACTGTGGGCTGGAGCAGCAACTTCAACGGTATCAAATGAGGCAGCTGGGGCCAAATATGATGTGACTGGAGCGGCGGCGGCAACTTCATAGGTGGTACTGGCAGCTACAGGTGGCAAATATTCGGTGGACACATCACGACGATGACGACGAGCAGTTTTGACAACACGACGTTTTTGGGTCTTATAACGATAACCCTCAGCATCGGAATAACTATGAGCTGGAGCAGCAACCTCAACGGTATCAAAAGAGGCAGCTGGAGCCAAGTAAGATGTAACTGGAGCGGCAGCAGCAACTGGGGCAGCGGCAGCAACTTCATAGGTGGTGCTAGCAGCTACAGGTGGCAAATATTCACTGCTGAGTTGGGCAGTGGCAGCAGCCACAAAGGCGAGAACAATAAATAATTTCTGAAATAAATAATGACATTAATTTTTATTTAAAAATTCAAAACCCAAATCAATTACCAAGAACTGAAATTCGAACTCACCATTCTTGATACAGTTATTTGCTCCAAACTGAAGAGTACAAATGCTTATGATGCTAGTCTGTTGACATCTGCACTATTTTATAGCAAATATTTTAGGTTTTTTCATTTTCTGTGTTGAGTGATGAATTCTTATTGCTTCGTCACAATCTGCATAAATCAGTTAATATCCGCCAATATTATCAGTTCTTTTGTTTTGAACAACAATAATTCCTTTCAATTGCTAATTGTCAACACTAAACTATTTTCCTTTCACTAAAGCCCAAATCCAAATCCAAGTATGTGTGCAGTGGCAACAACAACTGCCCCTTGACAACAATCTGCGAAAATGGATGAGCAACCTGTTCTATTTACTTTCGATTTTTTATAACACATATTTTTTTATTATATAAAAAACATAAAAAGATTAACCAAAATGTCACAAAAATATTTGATTGGTTTTGGCCAGCAGATATTGAAATAGTGGAGCATGAAGTGGTCAGAATTATTATTTTAGGAAAACGAATATATCGAGTTATGGTTATGGTTAGAATAGAAGCCTTTTGATTTTGGAGATGATCAGAGGCATGGGATTAGAGCATAGGGCTGCGCAGAAGTCTTATTGGATGGTCATCGGGTAAAACAGGGTGAGATAAAAACAAGTAAAAAAACATTAAGTTCGGCCGGGCAAAACTTTTAATACCCTCCACCTTAGGGTAAAAGAAACACTAGAAGAAATGTGGCAAAAACCATTAAAATGCCGAATATCGGGAGATACCGTTATATGGGGGCTACACAAAAACGTGAACCTATAATTACAATGTTTCGCTACACAAACTAGGACCCAATATGACCCACAAATACCAATTTTTAGACAAATCAGTGAAAAATGTGGCAAAAACCATTAAAATACCGAATATCGGGAGGTACCGTTATATGGGGGCTATACCAAATCATGGACCCATACATGCAACGTTTCGCCACCGGAGCTGGAACCCATTGTGACCAACAAATACCAATTTTCAGAAAAATCCGTGAAAAAAAGGTTGCAAAAATCATCAAATTACCGAATATCGGGAGGTACCGTTATATGGGGGCTATACCAAATCATGGACCCATACATGCAATGTTTCGCCACAGGAGCTGGAAACCATTATGACCCACAAATACCAATTTTTAGACAAATCCGTGAAAAAATGTGGCAAAAAAAAAACTAAAATACCGAATATCGGGAGGTACCTTTATATGGGGGCTATACCACAACGTGGACCTATACATGCAATGTTTTGCCACACACTCAAGGACCCGTTATGACCTACAAATACCAATTTCCAGACAAATCCCTGAAAAAATATGGCATAAATCATCAAAATACCGAATATCGGGAGGTACCGTTATATGGGGACTATACCAGAACGTGGACCGTTCATTTTCAATACCAACCATCCTAGACACAATGCAAATAGCTCTGCTAAATTTTGGCGCTCTACGTCAAATAATGTGGGCTGTATCGTGATTTCAACAGACAGACGGACAGACAGATGGACATCGTTAAATCGACTTAGCATTTTATGCAGATTATGAATATATATACTTTATGGGGTCTAAGACGAATATTTAAGGATGTTACAGACGTAATGACAAAGTTAATATACCCTCCTTTCCAAGGTGGAGGGTATAAAAATGGAACAAAATCAAATTTTATTGAATGAAAGCAAAAAATGTCCGAAATAGCATCAACTTTTAGAATAAGTTAAGATTTGTTCGATTTGGTTATCTTTGGCACGAATTATGGCCTTCAAACGGCCAATGAAACCGTCACACGCTGCCCGAATGATGCTGTGCGGTATTTTAGCCCATTCCTGGCGAAGCGCTTGCTTGAGGTGATCGACTCGTTGGTAGTTTTAGTGCCAACTTTGCTTTCCAAAATACTCCAGACACAATAGTCCAACGGATTGGTATCCGGAGATTTTGGTGGTCATTGTGCGCTGGAAATGAAGCGAGGAACCTGATTTTGTAACCATTATTGGGTGGCGCGTGCTGAGTGCGAGAGTCAGAGTCCTGTTGGAATGTCCAAGACTTTAATACACCCTCCAGAATATTTTCGCGATAATATTCGGCATTTATTCTAATGCCACGGTCGATTAATACGAGCGGAAAGCGACCATCGGCTGTTATGGCGGCTCACACCATCACTATGGCCAGCGCTTGAGTTCTGGTGGCCAACCGAAGGTGCACATTTTCAGCTGACCTCTTTGGCAAGTAAACACGATCACTTAGTTTGTTTACAAACTGCTGGACAACGAATGTTTTCTCATCGGAGAAAAGCAAATTCTGCAGTCCACCACATTCGACCAAGCGAAGCAACTCTTTAGCTCTTTTGAGTCTATTTTCTTTCTGTTTCGGTGGAAGTTCTTGCACTTTCTGGAATTTCAATGGCTTTACCCGAGCTCATTTTTCAATATTTGCCGAATGAAATATTGCGATATATTCAGGTCACGAGCCAATATTATTCAGATGAACAAAGTTTAAGAAAATTCGCTGACCAGTTTCGAATGTTATAACAGATGTAATTATCCAACTTTTGGCCCTTTCTGCAGAAGGTACCAGAAGGAGTGAACCGATATATTTCATCTTTACAGTGTTAGTGGAAATTTAAGAATGGATGGAGCTTAGAAAGCTTTGGATGCCTTTTTCGCATTTTATGAGAGTTTGGGTCATTCCATATTTTGACCCGTTGTTGGGAAGGTATCAAAAACAGTGATCCTACATATTTCCCCTTCACACCAGATCTTGATTTTTATGTAAATATTACGATGTGGGAAGTTTTAAGAGAATTGGATACTCAATTCGCATTTTATGGTTATTCAAAATTTTGACCCTTTGTGGGCTAGATACCAGAAGGAGTGGGCTGATATCTACAATTTTCACAGCAGATCTTATTTTGATAGAAATAATTAGATGTGAGGAGTTTAAAAGGAATCGAATACTCATTTCACGTTTTAAGAGATGCATAGCTATTCAACATTTTGACCCGTTGTGGGGAGGTACCAGAAGAAGTAGACCGATAAACTCACAGTAGATCTTGTGTTAATATAAATATTGCGATATGCGAAATTTGAAGACAATCGTACTCTTATTTCACATTTTATAAGGGTTATAATTATTCCAAATGTTGATCCTTTACGGTAGAGGTGCATTTTCGCACCTGACAAAGCACTGAAAAAAATATTGAGATTTCCGTTTGCACAAAATCGAATGAAACTTTCTATGAGGTAAATTATTTTCATTGAAAATTTTGACCTTTTGTTGAGGAAGGTACCATGTACCTTACCTACTAGGGTTTTGAAAACGTTTAACAGAATAGTTTTAAAAGAGCTACACTAAGTTTTATATTATTAATCCAAAAAACTAAAAAGTTCGCTATCACATATCATACTGACCCAATCCCCTTACCTCCAATTAAAAAAAAAATAGTTTTTTAATCAAATAATCTTTAATTTATTTGAGTATCGTTTAGGTATGCATCATATATCGGAACTTCTTCTGCTTAGTTACGGTGACGACGAGAAGTCTTAACAACGCGACGACGTTGAGTCTTGTAACGATAGCCTTCGGCAGCCGAATAAGAATGAGCTGGAGCAGTTCCGGCAACTTCATACGATTCATAGGCTGGAGCAGAGTAGGTAGCTGCTGGAGCAGAGTACGAAACAGCAGCTGGAGCTGAGTATGAAACAGCAGCTGGAGCAGAGTAAGAAACGGCTGGTGCAGAGTAAGATACAGCTGCTGGAGCAGCATACGAAGCAGCTGGTGCAGAGTATGAAGCTACTGGTGGCAAATATTCAGTGCTGACATCACGACGATGACGACGACGGCTGCGCTTGTTGGTCTTGTAACGGTAGCCTTCGCTGGCAGAGAAAGTGGCAGTGGGAGCGGAAGCTTGATAAGTTTCATAGGTGGCAGCTGGAGCACTGTATGATACAGCAGCGGGGGCGGAGTAGGATACGGCGGCAGGGGCAGAGTAGGATACTGCAGGAGCCGATTCAGCAACATGATAGGTGGCAGCTGGAGCAGAGTATGACACAACAGGAGCTGAAGCAGCAACATGATAGGTGGCAGCTGGTGCACTATAGCTTACAGCAGGTGCCGAATGAGCGCCCTGATGAGGTGGTAAATATTCAGTGTTGAGCAAATGGCTGACATCGGCGCTGGCAACTGCCACCAAGGCAAACAAGACAATGAAGAGTTTCTGTAATGCACAAACCACCAAATTTAAATATTTTTATTATATTTGATATATATTCTCATTTCGCTGACAAATACTAACCATCATAAGCGTGCTGATCTCCTACTGGCAGAAGAGTTCAATTGATGTGCGATCTAACAAAACAAGATGTTTTTATACCACAAATCAGATCAGTTATTTTTTTAGAAATATTTCAATGACAATTAAAATATTCTTTATATTTTCTAGTTGGAGTATTAAAGATATGCTACTATGAACATATTCTGGCTTGACTGGTAAATATGAGTTCGGGATTTACCCACCACTATGGCGTGAAACACATTATGTTGTGTTGATCGTTCGGTTTGTAACATTGCGAAATATTGGTTCCAGACCAAAAATCATATTATATTTGTTATGATTTATTTAAATAAACCAAAACTCAGATTAAGGTGTGGTATGACAAAAAGTACAAACTTCAAAAGAAAGTAAAGAATTTCACATTATAAATTACATAAGAATTCTTATATAACATTGGACTAACAACTTTTAGTCATGAAATCCGATCATTATAGGTATGAAGTCTCATAAAAAAAATCTTAAAAGTCCCATAATATTTTGGAATGAAGTCCTTGAAAAAAATCAACGATTTTCGAAAAAATCTAATAATATATTAAAGCAAATATATAATATAATTTTTTTCTTTCGAAAATCGTAGATTTTTCAAGGGCTTCATTCCAAAACATTATGGGACTTTCAAGATTTTTTTTAATGAGACTTCATACACAGAATGATCGAATTTCATGACTGAATGTAGTGAGTCCAATGTTATATAAGTATTCGAAATCCTTTTTTAACAGAAAGATATTCAATATCAATTATTTTTTCAATGCGTTCCTCGAAGTTGGTATACAGGGTGAGATAAAAAAATTGCAACAAAGTCAAACGCCAAAATTTTAATTTTTTTTATTTTATTTTATTTTATTTTTTTTTTTTTTTTGAATGAAAGCATTTTTTTGAAGTCGGCATTTATTCTGATGCCACGTTCGATTAATACGAGCGAAGAGTAACCATCGGCTGTTATGGCGGCCCACACCATCACCATGGCCGACGCTTGAGTTCTGGTGGCCAACCGAAGGTGCTCATTTGAATGTTTTCTCATCAGAGAAAACCAAATTCGGCAGTTCACCACTTTCGGATAAGCGAAGCAACTCTTTAGTTCTTTTGAGTCTATTTTCTTTCTGTCGCGGTGTAAGTTCATGCACTTTTTGGAATTTCAATGGCTTTACCCCGAGTTAATTTTTCAATATTTTCCGATTGGAACATTGCGATATGTTCAGCTCACGACCCATTTTCGTCCACTGCGACGCGGGTTTCGATCAAGTCACTTCTATACTTTTCGAACGATTTCTGCTGATATTGCTGTTTTCTTCCGTCTTGTGGTTTTCCAGCCAAATATAAAGAAATCACACTATCACACTTGAATTTCACCACGAATAACTTCTTTCTGGAAAATTTTCCCCAAAATGCTTTTGTACGCTTGTAAACAATATAATGAGCTGTCGTGTGGAATAATTTTAACAGCTGTCGGATGAGTGGATTTGAAATAATAGTAGTCTCAAGTTGGGTGCAGTATGTTCATCTCACCCTGTATATCCAATTTTATGGAAAATGATAAATTTCATATTTATATCATATTTCTGGATGAGAAAAATATTTTGATATAGCAAGTTATAAAGGATCGCGGACTTGTTTCGCAAAGTTATGACAGTAAGAAATTTTGAAAATGTTGAACTTTTTTGGGTAAGGTACCAGTAGGTATCTATCATCTTCACAACAGATCTTGTGTTAGTAGAAATAATGGGATGTTTGAAATTTGTAGAAAATAGGATGCTTATTGAGGATTTTATGATCGTTTTGGTTATTCAAAATGTTGATAGGTAAGAAAAACGCGATGATAGAGTTTCGACGAAAAGCAAACACTCATTTCCCATTTTATATATTCTTTAGGATGTGGGTCAACATTGGGATGTTTGAGGAAAACCATATCACATTGTATTATTTAAAATATTGATACTAGATGTGCTTCTTCATACCTGGCCTAATTCAGCTTTTAATTGTTTCAAGTTGGACCATATAGGCTATTCGCTCTAATTAAATAAATAAAAAAAAAACAAGCAAGCAAAGGCTATAGAAAGGTTTTTCAGATAAGTATAATTCAATGGTCGTCCAAAATGCTACACTTCTGCGCTGTCCTAAGCCCTAACCGTATGCAAAATTCCGTGTCGATTGGCTTTCGATTGTGACCTGTAGAGCCACTGCAAAACCTGGAAAGTTTTAATTTTTGCCAATTTGAATCCCTACATATACATCCTAAAAAATTGGGTTTAATTCTGACCCTAACTCTATGCCCATGCAGAATTGCGACTTTAATGTGAAATACAGAAATAATACAGAATGTGATACTCCCAAAAAACAATATGAAAATATCTCATGCGATAATTAATATGACAAAAAATTTAAAAATAAGTATTCACTTATTTGTTGGCACGCGGTTTTCTTAGATTTTATCCTTTTCTGGCAAGAGACCATTCCGAATTTGTGAGAATTTTTAAAATCCGTCCAGCCGTTCTGGAGTTATAAGCGGTCTAACTTACATCGCCTTCATTGATATATGAGATTGTATATATTTTGCTATATTTGCAATGTATCGGTCAGAAGTGATATTTTCGTGCATTTGTGATTTCGCAAGTATTGAAAATATTCGCGGTATAGTGGAAATTTTCGTATTTTCATATAAAAGATATGGTATATTTTACCCACTAAGTATTGTCCGACGAGCAAACAAATGGTCGGCTTCTGAGCAGCCCTAAACCCTAGGCACATACTAAATTCCGCGTCGATTGGTCTATAATTGCGACCTGTAGAAAAACAGCAAAATCTGTAAATTTTTCTTTTTTGGTCCATTTCAACCCCTAAATATCTTCAATGACAACAGATTTCTATTCTGGCCCTAGCGCCACCTTCATGCTAAATTTTTGCTTTGGATTTAATTGTATCCATCAATTTATTTCTATTTGGTAGACATAGCTAAATCGACATCGACAATCGATCAAAAATATAAAGTTTAAGGATAAATCAATTTTTCTAGGAACTACAAACGGAATTAAGTATTTATTATATGCCTTTTTTAGAGTATAAAAGAAATTCAACTTAATATCGAAAATAAGCTATACTTCTTTCTCATGTCTCATATACTCAGAATGTATATCAACGCTTCAAAATTATTAAATTTTTCCATTAACGAAGGGTACTTATAATTCGTTTTGTCCGGACTATTTTTTACCCCTTTGTTTAATGTTTGCACATGCAGCCAAAAAAAATCGTTTCGACAATGATTTATAATCGATAAATAATCCAAATCTTTGATCTTCTTGAGACATATTGTCTGTTGCTGTATAATTATGATCACCCCATCATTTCGGGACAAGTTTACTTTCTAGCGATTGCTCAGAATTCTAATTTCATTTGACAGCATTCAATAAACAATCAAAATGTTAAACAATCAAATTGGCTAGTGTTTGGCATTCGAGTATTTAACTTTCGATTTTATGGCATCTCAATTGTTAAGAAATCGAAAATAAATTGAATAATTATTTTTCTCTCCGTTTATTGTTTTATTTTAAATAGCATAACAAATAATCTTGTTTAATTTGCATAAAATAAATAAATGACACTATGAGTTGGCATTTTAGCGATTTATAGCATATTTTTAGGAATACATTGCATTTGATAATACGTCGAAGAAATTTAATCAGCTCCCCAAAGTATGTTAAGTGAAAATGAATTTCAAATTAAGTTCAGTTAAATATTAAAAAAATATTCTTCTCCATAGTGATAACCAGTCTTTAATAAATCTACACGAAACAGTTATAATTTAGAATCAAAGGGAACTAATGTATAATGGAACCAACCCTGAGAGTGGGGATAATAAAATTAAAACACATATCTCGACGTTATAGCTATATTTGATCCATTTTTTCCCAAAATTCCATTCTATTTAGGCTTGGATTATACTTTTTGTGCACAATAGACGTGAAATCGGATGAAAAATTATACGGGAGCTATATCCAAATCTCAACCGATCCCTAACAAATTAACAAAGATATTTTTATATTGTATTTGGTAGCTCACACCATTTTTATACTCTACACCACTAGGTGGTCAGGGTATTATGTCTTTGTGCATTTGTTTGTAACAGGCAAAAGGAAACGAGATAGACCCATAGTTCCTTTTGATGATCTGCATAGAATCCGTCCGTCCGGCCATCTGTTTGTCCGTCTGTCCATGTATTTTTGAAAACAAAGTACAGTTTGCATTTATTGCTCTATCCAGATGAAATTTTGCACAAATCATTCGTTTGGCCCAAGAATGAACCCTATTGGAATTGGAGATAATCGGTCAAAATATAGATATAGCTCCGATTTGCATTTTATTGTGCACCAAACGTGTAATATCAGTCCCAATATTATGGAATTTTGCACGTACGACCAGATTGGACCTGAAAATAAGTAAGCCAAATTTGATCGAAATCGGTTCAGATATAGCTATAGCTGCCATATATATTGTTTATCCGATTTGTTATATTTGTCCTCCGCAGCCGTAATATGCACTCTGTAACAACAAAATTTGGGGAAATACATCAAATACAGCTCAGAAGTACATTTGCTAAATTCTATCGAGGTCGGTTCAGATTAAGATATAGTTCCCATATATATCTTCGTCCGATTTAGCTTTTATTGTGAACCAAACGCCTAATATTTGTCCAAAAGGGATGGAACTTGGCACTTACGACCGAATTGAGTCTAGAAGCTAGTATGTACAATTTGGTGAAGATCGGTTCAGATATAGCTATAGCTCTCATATATATTGTTCATCCGATTTTTTATATTTGTTACCCACAACCGTAATATGCACTCCGTAACAACGATATTCAGGGAAATATATCAAATACAGCTCAGAAATATCTTTGCCAAATTTTATCGAGATCGGTTCCGATTTGGATATAGCTCCCATATTATCTTTAAGCGATTTCAAATTAATTTTGCACCAAATGGGCAATACAAGTCCGAATTTAAAAGATACAAATGCTTCGCCATATTAAGTCCTTTGAATTTTAAGTTAAAATCA